CACCTAGCTGGCTGGCCAGCCAATGAGCTTCAGGGATCCACCCACCTCTGACCCCTGCCCCCTGCTAAGAGTTGGGTTTACAAGTATTGCCACCATGCCTAGCTTTTTACATAGGTGCTGGTCCAAGTGCTTTACCAACAAACCCATCAGCTCACCCTCTTCTTTACCTTTTGTCATTATATTTCTACGCTAACAAGACTGTGGGTAGAACTAACAGATTCTCCAGTCATTTGTCTGAGTAGGTTTTGAAGGGCTTGGGGAAGGGGTTTGAAGAGGCCTCTAGTTGATTTTTTTCTATCAAGTTCTGAATGAAGACATATTTCCTTTCTAAAGAAAAAAACAAACAGTTTTGATGCTCTAATTTAATGTGTGTGGGTGTTTTTCCTGCACGCATGTAAGTGCACCATATGCACACAGTACCCAGGGAGGATAGAAGGGTCGGATCCTCTAGAAATGGAGATACAGACAATAGCGAGCCTCCATGTGGGTGCTGGGATTTGATCCTCTGCTCCAGAAAGGCAGGCTTCTCCAGCTTGAGTGAGTCGAGGATTTATTAACATGCAGACTGTCTCATGGTCTGGGGAGGCCCACAGCATAAGCAGCACAAAACTCAGGGTCTTAAACAGAGCTACCATGACACATGTGTTACTGCTTTCTCTGGAGGGCAGAAAGGTGTGATCCCATGGTCACCCAGTGTAAGGACCAGGGCTCACACATGCAACAAAAGACAGGTGACAGACAAAAGCATAACAGGAGCCTTCAAGAGACGCCGGGGCCCAGGGGGCTCCTGTTTTGTGCAAGGAAGCTTGCATGGTCATGTAGAAATGCTTCTGTGACCGACTTCTGGGGATACTTGCATGGGGCTCTGTCTTTGAGGGCCTAAGGACAGGACACTCATGGGTTTCCAGCTGGTTTGAGGCTCTAGTTTTTATGGCTCCCCTCGGGGAGAAGGGGTGCAGAGATGAGGCCAAAACCCCCTTCCTTTAGTGTACTATTAGCACACTGAGGCACCACACTTCAGGGTGTCACTTCCTGAGCCCCCGAGGTTTAAATATTCAAGCTTCACAATTGCATCCCCAGAAATCCCTTTTAACATCCTATATATGTGTATATACTGTGCTGTTATTACTAATTGCTTAAATGCTGAATTGATTAGTGTAGTTATATTTAGTCCTACCTTATGAAGGCGGGTTGTCTGTGAAGATTTTTACAAGTGACTTGAGTTATTTCACATCTGCTGGGTGGGGCCTTGTGATGAGGGAAGAACCCTCCTCTGTAGTTAACCACACCTAACAATTCATTTCCTCTCTGGTGGCCGAGGACAGGTAGGTGAAGAACTGGCTTTGTGTCGGAAGCCAAGCAGTCCTTCTCTTCCATTTCCTGTTCATTTTAGTACAAAGGTTTGTTCTATTAGAAGATGCCAATGAGATAAATTCATCAGGGTCTCAAAAGGATTGGTCGCCATCTAGTGGATGATTTCGTGGCAACTGCTAAAATAACTGCCCTTCACTCACAATCTAAACCCAAATTTTATACCTCCAATTTGGTTAATTTGGCTAATATCAGAGAATGATTCCTAACCCACTAGCATGACTGCCACAGTTTGGCATCCTCGGAGGCACATGCTTCACTGTCAGAGGTGAGTTTAGGAAGAGGCGCAAAGGCCTCTGGGAAGGCTTGCAGCTGACCCTGCCCTCTGCCAGGACTTCCCTCAAAAGCCTGACTCACTTCCAGATGTGGGAGTTAAGGTGTGAGCTCACTGCTTCACACTGTTGCTAAAAGTCCTTCCCTGGAGAAGGTGTGAGCCATGTCTAACCCCTCCTCCAAAAGTCCCAAAGATAAACTAAGATAGGAAACCCACCAAAGCTCACCCTGGTGAACCAAAGAGTACATTAGCCTCCCTTACAGGATGATGGTGGTTACAGGCAACAGTGTCAGTGGCCTTAAAGAAGCCACACTGGCAGGTCTTCACCCAGCATGGACACCCTTCCCCCCCTCAGGGCAGCACAGATGGAACCCTTTACCTCTCTGTCCCAGCCTGTGTCCTCTAGCCCTCCCCACCAGCCAAGTACAATTGGGGCAGAATTGCATACAGGTGATTAGGAGTGGCTGGACTCCCCAGTGAGGGTCCCATGACCCATCTCAACCCCCTTCTAAGAGGGGAAGTCAAGCATCAACAATCGCAGTTGTGGTGATCCTTTGCAAGAGGACACAGCTGAATTCAGGAAGATTGTTGCAGTCTGGCTGGGAGGACAGTCCTGCACACACAACGAATCTGCAGCCTGCCCCTCACCTACTGACTCCTCAACATCTTTGAGGGAGACGATGATTCAAGTGGTTCACAGCCACGTGTCTCTGATGCACAAAGCAGCACTGGTCGTGCTTGCTCCTGGGCAGTATCAGCATTGAGGTCGGGGGACAGTCTCATCCCCAGCAACTGCTGAGAATAATCAAAAAGAAAAATAAAGACAAATTGGAAAGACAACTGTATGAAAAACAACAACAAAAGAAATATCAAGCCAGAAAATTCCAGATAATGTTTGTTCTGTTTAATAAGTCTCAAGGAAGGAAAGGTCCAAGTTCACAAAAGCTTAAATGAATTCTGTTTTGCTACCACACAAAACCAAACACACAGCATTGCAACAGCAAATGAACATGCTGACTATGTTCAGGCCACTTCACCTATGACTTTCTACGTGAATACAAATAAACAATAAATACTGCTGTTACCTTGAACACGGTACCTCCAATGAGTTTGGACTTTCACCTAACTGTTCAAGAAGACGGATGGAAAGAAAGGAAAAGAATATGTAAGTCACCTAAGAAGGTATTCTTGGGTCTTTCTTAGGACATGACCCCAACAGGACACAGTTTCAGAACGAACCTTCCAGACAGTTACCAAATCTTCAGCCCCTTTGGTCATTTAAGACTTGGGAAATAGTCCAAAGCCATCAATGAATACTTAAAGCACTTTGTGATTTTTCTCTACTCACTGATGTTATTAAGCCTGAAAAACTGTTTCCTTATATTCTTCTTGGTTTGACTGGTTTAAAATTCAAGGGCTATGTAAACACCTCTGAAATGAAAAGCACTTCCCAGAAGTACAGCCATTTGTCGCTGTAGCTGGATACTGTGGTTTGTCCTTGAACTGAATGAGTTCACAGTTCGTTGTCAATGCTGTCCACTTGACTGCGTGTAGTAGGTTCTTAGGGATCAGAGAAAGCTATGCTCAATTAACTGCAGTCAGTGGAGCTGTAAGGAATGGCATTGGTCAATAGTACCCCAATCCTATCCAATACTGTTTAACACAGACAACCAACCTGGGCAAACAAAGTCACCCGTTCAGGCTTCTAGGGATGTCTAAACACAGGACATGAATTCTAGTCCTCAGATCAGGGACTTCAGCTCAGTGTGCTGGAAGCAAATGTGTGTGGTTCCATCTTTACATTTCTTAGTTGTGACAGTTTTGCTCAGACACATATTCAGCAAGGGAAAAGAAACCCCATCCTAGCCTGGCCAGGTCTCTAAGAGCACCCACACAGATGCACAACAGGAAGAGAACCCTGTTAGAATTACTCTAGGGAGCATATAGGCACACAGGTGTACCCAATGTCATGCTTACATTTATTGGCCCTGAAACTTCCTAAGGATCTGCGTAAAAATAGAGAAAGAATGAGGGAGGTGCCAGGGGTGGTGCAAATAATCTATGCTCAGAGGAGCAGGGAAGTGAACACACAAGGCCTCGCTCAGGGGTGAAGAGGGTGAGGGGTGGTCCTGTTCTCCCAATATTAGGTGCATACCATGGATGAATGTGGCCATTGAATCTGTGAGCTGTCAGCAACATATACAGATTTTGGTCATAAAAAGACATGAGCCCTCCATGTAATAATGTTTCCTCCAGGAGGGCAGTGCAAAAGAATCTGAAAATAAAGTCTGAAAGAAATGGCAACAAACAAACAAACAGACAGACAAAAACTAGAAAACAGTTCACATGTTGTTCAGTCTGAGTAAAATTAGGTTTTACAAAGAGAATTTGACATTTAACCTTAGCAAATTCGTCTCACCCTTCTGCTGTTACTTGTGGCTGTGTGGAAGCTGTTATATATTTCCAACTGAAACAGGCTACCTTTGTCCTTTGCCCCATCGGTGAAAAAAATACTATAGAGTCATGGATGCCCCAAACAAGTCCAATAGTTGTTTCAACGGATAAAGTCAACTGCAGTCCTTAACATAGATACACTATCTACAAAGCAGCAGCCAAGGAAAGGTTTGCAGAAGCTCATTGTGGAACGCTCCCCAGGCAGATAGTACTCAAATGCAGCTGAGAAAGATGCCTGTGAGGGAGCCAGGAAGCCACAGGTAGTTAAGAACACTCAAGATAGCATCCAGTAACTCCCTACATACACTCTCTCTCTCTCTTTCTGCAATATGTCTGCTCCCTCTACTGAAATCAGGCATGATTAGAAAAGGTTGTCTTATAGAAGAGTTGCGGGGGGATTGAAGGACCCAGAGGGGAGAGATGCTCCATAAGAAGAAAAACAAAGCCAACAAATCTGGGCTCAGGGGAGCCTGCAGAGGCTGATGCACCAACCAAGGACCATGCATGAAGAAGACCTAGACCCCTTGCTCAGATGTAGCAGATAGACAGCTCAGTCTCCATGTGGGTTGCCTAGTAAGGGGAGTAAGGCTGTCTCTGACATGGACTCCATTGCTTGCTCTTTGATCACTTTTCCCCTGGTGGTGTTGCCTTGCCAGGCCACAGAGGGAGAGGATGCAGGCAGTCCTGATGAGACTTCATAGGCTACGGCCAGATGGTAGGGGAGGAGGGCTCCTTTCGGTGGACTAGGGTAAGGGGGTGGGTATAAAAGGGAGGGAGGGTGGACTGGAAGGAGTTGAGGGAGGAGGCTACAACTGAGGTATAAAATGAATAAATTATAAAAAATAAATTTATATATAAAAATAAAATAAAATTATATTAAAAAGAAGAAGAAAACCCTGCTTTTACAAACGGAAATAGACCCTTAGTTTTGACCCAGAACAGCAGGATATGGGTCCCTAGTCAAGCTTAACAACTTACATTTCAGTATTCCCACTCAATGTTACCCAAAGATCTAGCGGGCATTCTTTCTTATCTGGCCACACAGCAACAATCATGGTTGGGCCCTCCGACCTTCTCTCTTGAAAATGTATAAATGATGTTAACTTCAGTTAAGGGAACTCAGAAATGAGCTGTAGCACTACCCCTGGACTTAACATGTCTTTTAAAACGCACCAGACAGATATCTGGATGCCTTTGCCTCTGGCAAGGAACTGGCTCAGCTAAATGACACTCAAAATAGAAACCCTTGCGCTCTGTAGGAGTGGAACTGAGGCTTGCTGGAGTGGGGAGGACATATGAGACAAAGACGGAACAGACACTCTACGTGAGGGCTTATGCAAAAGCAAAAGGCAGCCGGGCTTTTCCTCTGTCCCACCCTAGGGTTTCTCTCACACAAAGCAGTACAAACTGTTTCCCATACAACGAAGACAGGGACACTGGGGCCAGGTCTACGCTGGCTGCTTGGCACTGCTGTTTCAATTCTTTGTGTCACAGACACACGGGTTAAACTTTACCGACAGGGCCCTCCAAGGCTTAAGACTGTCTATACAAAGAACAGCTTACTGAGCCTTAGTGAGCCCTCTGAAAATAACTGTTGAGGCGGGGTAATTGAAGAGCCAGCTGGCTACTTGAGTCACTTATCACAGATGGATTCAAGCTCACCATCACTTTGGGAAGAGCCCCATTTTCAGACATCTGCAGGTCTTTATAAATCTTTACATCACTTTAACTTATGTGTGCTTTGCCTGGTTACGTTTGTTTTGAGTTTTTTCTCACTGGTCGAAGGGGCAAGACCACAGTTATATGCATTCCCTTTTTTCTTTGGATCCAAGTGGGCCTGAGTCCTGGAGGCCCTGCAGGAGTCCATTGGGTCCAGAACTGCCAGGGATTGCTTGGGGATTCTGATGTTACCATTGGCTTCCATTACAGGGTTGCCCTCAGCGTAGGGTGGAGCGTGATGCTGAAGCTGGGGGCCTTTGCTTGATTTCTTTTTCTTTTCCATCCTCAATTCAGGGGCTTGCTTCTGAGCACACAGCCTGGGCCGACCAGGCCCATCCAGAGATCTAGGCAAAGCCTCAAATGCATAGTAGGAGGGGTGGGCCTCTTCATGATGAAAACCTTTCTTTCTAGAAGGACCTGGTTTTGAAATCCCTTCTGGGGAAGGTAGCGGCTTGGACAGGGTGCTGGTAAGAAGCTTACCCCGCCCAGGGCTCTTCAGCACCCTAGAAGCACCAGAGGGCCTGGCCTTGGCAGCACGGGCCTTCTCACACTGCACAGTCTGGACTTGCAGCCATTCCAGCTGAAGAAGTCTGTCTATGTATTTCCCGAGAAATCCCGTGGCCCGAGGCAAGGCCTCGCTCCTGCACTCCGTGTTCAAAATGACAGCCATATCCTGGAGGTCCCAGGAGCTGAAAGGAGGTGGAAGAAAGTCAGGGTAACAATGCTCACGCTCCGCCTGGCTCGGGTCTGGGTGAAGATTGAAGGAAACTGGGTCTATCTCTTCTGCTCGCAGGTTGAGGTCTGGAGGTGTGAATGGAGAAGGAGGGATGGCCACTCTTTCTGAGTCTGACAGGTCACTTGCACTGTCCTCATCAGCGCCTTCCTTAATGATTTTCATGGACTGAAAGTCAAGGAAGAGCTTGCTTCCAGCGGCAGCCTGATACCTGGAACTGAGCGCAGTCCGCTCCTGTCTTCCCTCCCTGGAGATGGTTTCCATGAGTTTATCTTCTTCAGGCTGGGAGATGCCAAGGAGGCTGCTTCTCAGCTGGGAGGAGACATGGGGTCCTTGGGATCGACTCTGCCTTTTTCCTGAAGAAGTCTTTGAGTGTTGTACTTGATTCCAAGACGCGGCAGCACTCACGCCGCTACAAAATGACAAAACTGCAGTCTAGGAATTGATGATTCGAGAAGAAGAGCCCCCTGCTAACACTTCGGTCATTACTAACGTGACTCCACAAGCTTTACAGAAGCTGGTTTGCAAAACAGTCTCCCTTCTGCACTCTAGTCAGGGCCAGTAGACAATGCATGCCCCAAATGTGGGTACACATATACTGTTTAATGGCAAAGACAGGTGTTTAAAAGCTTAACCATTTTTGTTTGTTATATAACCTTAGAGCAATTGCGTCTACCTTAAAAAAAAAAAAAAAAGATCACTTTTAAAATCTGTCAGAAGACCCCTGGTCTGTTCTATTAGTGGTCAACAGTGTTTGAAAATATTCAGAAATGCGGCTGGGCTTGGAAGCACACACTTTTAACCCTCACATTCAAGAGGCAGAGACATGCAGAGCTCTGTGAATTTGAGGCCAGTCAGGGCCACCTTGTCTCAAAACAAAAATGAAAGAAAGCAAAACAAAAATCGTCTTGGGAAATATTCAGAAATAAGCCCTGCAGCCTCTTCTTGTGGGCATATTTTAGGAGAAGTGTTAACTCAAGTTTTGCAGGCTGGGAAGCGGGTTGGTGTTGGTTTATCTGCCTTGCAGGTTTGATCCCTGGACTTAAAAAGCCTTTTGAGTTCTTCACTGCTCTTTCTCTAATATGTGGGGATATATGTGTTTTTCCACATGTGTGGGTCAGTGTGTGTACATGCATGTGAAGACCAAAGTTAATGGTAGGAATCATTCTCGATCAATCTTCCACCCAGTCAGCGAGGCAGGCTCTATCAAACCTAGAGCTTATCCAGATGGCTAGCCTTTAAATTTTACTTTTGTTATTCTTAATGCTGTGTGTAGTGGGTGGGTGGTCATGTGACTGAAGTCAGCTGAGGAGCATCAGATCCCTGGGGAGCTGAAGTTAAGAAAGACCGTGAGCTGCCTAGTGTGGGAGCTGGGAACCAAACTCTGCAAGAGCAGGATATACTCCTAACCACTGAACCATCTCTCCCTCCCAGTAGGGCTAGTCCTACCAGCCGATTTGCTCTTGTTTCTACCTGCCAAGGCTGGAATTACAGGTGAGTTGATGCGTCAGCCCGCATTTACTTGAGTTCCTGGGGAACTCGGGTCCTCACACTTGGCCAGCAAGTACTTAGCGCACTCAGCCATCCCCAGCCCAGATCTCACTGTCTAATCACCAGTTGGCTGAGCCAACCAAAACATTAGTGTACAAGTTTTTCACATTCATTCCAACCTGTACCAGGAATCAAAAGTTTTCTTTTTACTATCTTTTCTAACAGGAAACACTCAGGAAAAGTTGTGTTTAAAATGCTAAAAGGGGTGACAAGATGTCTCATCAGGTCAAAGCACTTGCCCCCGGTTGTAATGACTAAGTTTGATCCCTATGACCCACACGGTAGAAGGAGAGGACCAGATTCTTCCAAGTTATTTACTAATCACATGTGTGATGTGGCACGCATGCGCATGCACCCGTACACATACACACACACGTAAAATATAAAAAGAAAGGATAGAAATACAGTCATATGGTAGCATGAGAACTCAATACAAATGGGAAAGGCCAGCAAAGAGTAACAAATATTGCATTCATCTCTAATACACCCTGAACCGATTCTAGAGTGTTCTACACCAAGGCAGGCTCTCACAAGAGCTGAAAATACCTTCTTTTTGGTTTATTTCCCGTCCACGTATTATTCACCTGAAGGTGAGTAGTACTCCCTTATGACAGGACTCAGGCAGGGACAGGAAGTGACTAAGTGTGCTTTTTAGGAAGGTGAGAGGTCTGTCTGTGCAGTGATCTCAACAGTACTCAACACTTACTTGGAAAAGCATCCCTCTTATTTAATGACGTGCATGGACTACATTAGCTCAGTGCAGGCGAGCAATGTCAGCAAATGAAGAAATGGCTGTCGTTAGAAATTCACAACTGTTGACATTTTTGTTTACAGACTGGAGCGATGGCTTGGCATTTTAGTGCACTGGCTGCTCTTGCAGAGGACTCAGGCTCAGTCCCAGCACCCACAGGGCAGCTCGGGGCCACTTGTGACTCTAGTTCCAGGGGACCTGATGTCTTCTTCAGGCATGTAGGCACATGCAGGCAAAATACTCATACACATAAAATAAAAATTAAAAAAAAAACTTTTTTTTTAAAAAAATGTGCACAGGGCTGGAGAGATGGCTCAGCCAATAAGAGCGCTATCTATTCTTCCAGAGGTCCTGAGTTCAATTCCCAACAACCACATGGTAGCTCACAAACATCTCTATTGGAATCTGATGCCCCCTTCTGACATGCAGGCATACATACAGATAGAGCACTAACACATAAACTAAATAAAGAAAATCTTTTTAAAAAAATGCTCACAACCAGCTGCCACCACACATACCAGCCTTTAGCAATGCAAGCAAGGACCTGGAAACCAGTTACCTGCTTTTCTGATGGCAGTCACTCATCCTATTCCTTTTCTTGAGCAGGTCACAGGGCTGCTCATCATCTGAGGTTTGATGGGTTGTCTGAAAAATACAGACTGTTGAGCAAGTACAATGAACTTGTGTGCCTATGCACAAGCACGTTCCCACATGCACGCGCGCGCACACACGTGCCAGTAAAACCATCCTCCCGGCAAAACATGACGGTTACTGTCCTGAATCAGATCAACTGATCATCCAAAGAAGACATTTGCAAGATCGGGCCTATCGGTTTTCCTAGTAAAAAAGAAGTCACAAGGGAGCCTAGAAAGACAGGGCCTCTCAACATCACCCACCGATGGAGTGGAGAGAAAAGCCTTCAGACCTTCACCCAAGATGCCCCTTTCCCATCTCCCTCCTGTTCTTGGCAGCAGCAGGTCATACCTACCTCCCCTCCCCCACAGCATGTGGTCTTGGGGTTTGGCAGAGCTCTTTAAGGGGTGTTAGGTTAACTGGGGCAGGACCTTCAGTGAGGAAGCTTTTGTGAGTTGTCCCTCATACTGGAGTGAAATTGTTAGAGATGTGGCTACTTTTCAGCCACCCATGCTCTTGTAAGTGACCTCAATAAATCCCCTGGTTCACTGAGACAGACTTCAATGGAACTAGTTATTTGGTTTGTGACCTATCTAGTGGTTTTTAAAAATGTAGTAAATTACTTAAATATTATATAAATAAAGTGTACAAAAATCCTCATTTGTACATCCACATAGCTGAAGCATACAGGAAGTACTGAGACAAATCTAAGTAAGATTTCCCCTCAGAGCCACCTCACCTTCTCCGCAGTGCTCAGAATATTCTTGCTCAATCTGCCGCTGGATGACAACAGCCGGGGAGGTGGCTTCTTTATTCCCCTTATCTTCAGAGAGGCTGCAGTAGCATCGGAACTGGGAACGACAGAACACTGACAGTAAGAACTGACTGCAAGCAGCCTCACCAGCATCGGGCTGCCTTTCCGTGTGCTTCCGATCTCGGTATCTGAAGCCGTGACCATGCAGGGGCTCAGCACTCTACACTATGAAGTGAGAAATGGGAGAGGAGACTGCATATTTACAGTTTGATGTATCTAACACTCATCGTAAATTCTATGTGCACTCGTGACTGTGGGCACCCTCAGAAACTTCATGAGCACCAGATCCCCTGAGCTAGACTTAAAGGCAGTTGTAAGATGCCCAACATGGGTACTGGGAAGGCTTACATCCCCCCCCAGTGGCTATTGAGTATAAGACCACAGTATTGTGAGTGCTGTGAATGGATCCCAAACCCCCACCTACACACACTTATTCACTCCTTGTAAATAACACCAATTAACTGGCCTTTTACTCTAAAGTTCCCATGTCTATTCATTCATTCACTCACTCAGTAATTATGAGAAGTCTAAAAAGTGTGAAGATTGTGCAGGAGGCCCTCATCCCGCAGAGATAAAACTCTAGTGGGGAGGCACCTTCTCTGTCACAACAATCATCAGTGGTGGGCTGGAGAGATTGCTCAAGAATATAGAGCTACTGATTCCCAGCGACCCCTGTTTAGCTTCCAGTACCATGTGGGTGGCTCATGAGGACCTGCAATTCCAGTCCCAGGCCAACACTCTCCCCTGGCCTCACAGAGCACTGGCATTCACATGTGTACACCCATATGTAATCCTTTAAAAAAAAATTTTAAAAAACATCAGTATATTGACACACCCTTGATGCTATCTCACTATGAAGTTCTAGTCCCCACACCAAAGGCAATCATAATTCCAATTTTGAAAGAGCATGCCTAGTAACTGAATATTTCTCTCCCATGATGCCCCAGGCTCTGTCAGATCTGGAATATTTCGTGAACCAACCCTGGGCGTTCCCACCACAATCATGTAAGACTTTTAGGCTTGCATGTGAATACAACAAAAATTGCAACAGGGCCTTTTATGCTTAATTACCCCACAACCAACAGGCTGGATTCCCTTTACATAGGGAAAATGTTCTTTGCCTGCCCTCTTGCTTTACCCTGTCTTTTCTGCTACAAAGTGGGAAAGAAACCAAGACTGCCTGATACAGGCACACTCTTTAGAATTTACAGTGCCATCCTGGCCCCTCCTCCCTGACAAACTTGACACATAGCTGAGCTGTGTGTGTGAAGTTCCTCAGAGAAATAAAAGCCTGCGGTGAAATCAGGATGCAGGAAGAGGGAAGGCAGTCAGAGAGGGGGTGGAGCACACGGCTTCAGCTTGCATAGCGGCATAACTAACGCTCAAGAGATTCTGGCTACAAAAATGCTCCTCAAGAGCCAGAGGGCAGCTGCACAATCCATCATGGACATTAGCCCCTTTCCCAGTCTTCCTCTCTGGCAGCAAGCCCGGCTAACGGAAGCAGCATCCCCCACCTCCTCCCCAGGGAACTGGCTGCCTGGCCAATAGGGAGGCACAGCATGGTGGGGAGGTGTGGGCATGATGTTTCCCTCAGCAGCAAGCTTCCCTGGGTCTGGCCGTTGGTCCAGGTTGCTGGAGTGGAGATAGGTGTCCAGAGCTGGCTGGCTGGACGCTCACCGTCTTTCTGGGGCCAGCTAGCAGCCAGGCCAACCAAGGCTGGGCTCAGCCCCGCCCCCACCCGGCACTCCTCAAGCCCAGGCCCCCCAGCAGGCACCCAGTACGTCCTAGGCTGCTCCAGAAACCATCGCTGATGGATGGGTGCCGCGCACGAGCACACGCACCAAGGAAACCCAGCAGACCTGCTCCGCGGCCTGAGCGCGCGTGACGAGGCTCCCGGGCGCGGCTGCTGCGCTGCGGCAGGGGGGCGCGGGCGGCGGCAGCGGGAGGACTGGAAGGTGGGAGGGTGGTCGAGGGCCGCGCGGTTCCGGCAGCGTGGGGCTGCGCGGGACGGCAGGGCAAGCGGGTGGGACGCGCCCGCGGGCGGCGTCACGAGGGGCGGGGCGCGTCGGGGGCGCGCCGGGAAGTTGCGCTTGGAGAAGTTGCGGGCAGCTGAGTCTCCGAGCGGCGGGGTTGCCGGCCTTCCCGTAAGCGCTCGGGGAAGCGGGGAGAAGCAGGCGCCACCCTGCAGGGCGCAACGCCCCGGGAAGCCGCCCTGGGAGCACGAGATCGCCCTCGGAGTCGCCCGCCTCCCCTGAAACCCGGGGCCAGGCCGTGAGCACCGCCTCCTTGCTGGGTGCCTCCTTGCTGGACGCCTCGGGGCTCCTACAGGCTGTGCAGCCCGAAAGCCCGGTGGCTCGGCTGAGACGCCCGCCCCGGCCTCCCGCTGGGCCATGTCAAAAGGCCCCGGTTCTGCCCTGCTGCCCCAGACCCCGGGGTCACGGAGACCCGTGCCTCGGAGCCTTAGCTGCGTCTCGGACCTGGATCCGCGACCCTGCAGACCCCCGGGCTGCGACCCTCGGCTGCGGCCCATCATTCACCGACGCGCGCGCTCGCTGCCCAGCTCCCCCGAGCGCCGTGCCAAGGCTGCGGGAGCCCCGGGCGCTGCGTGCGGAGCCGGCTGCAACCGGCAGCTCCGTGTGCGATTCGCTGATGCGCTGGGCCTGGAGCTGGCGCAGGTCAAGGTGTTTAACGCGGGGGACGATCCATCCGTGCCGCTGCACGTGCTGTCACGTCTAGCCATCAACTCCGACCTGTGCTGCAGCAGCCAGGAGCTGGAGTTCACGCTGCAGTGCCTGGTACCAGACTTCCCGCCTCCCATCGAAGCCCCCGGCTTCGGAGATCGCCTGGCACGGCAGCTAGTGTGCCTGGAACGTGTCATCTGCTCGGACTTGGGCGTCAGCGGCACAGTGCGCGTGAGCAACATGGCCTTCGAGAAGCATGTGGCGGTGCGCTATACCTTCTCTGAATGGCGCAGTGCACATGAGGCAGTGGCGTGCTGGAGAGGGCCTGAGGGTGCCGGAGGTGCCGAGGACATCTTTGCCTTCAGCTTTCCAGTACCACCCTTTCTGCTGGACCTCGGATCCCGAGTACACTTCGCAGTGCGCTACCGAGTGGCTGGTGCTGAGTACTGGGACAACAATGATGGCTGCGACTATAGCCTTACTTGTCGCAGTCATGCCTTGCACATGCCACGCGGGGAGTGTGAGGAGAGCTGGATCCACTTCATCTGAGCTGCTGGCCTCGAACCTGGAGCTTGCATCTCAGCAGAAGTTGCAGTCACTTCCCCACGGATGCTGATCTCCGAACGGCTATCTCCCACCCCATCCTTCCTTCCCAGTGGCCTGGCCTCATTTCTCGCTGTGAAGCCCTGCCACAGTGGCCTGGCCTGTCTTCTAGTGAATTCTCTGGAGAGCCTGATGGCCAGAGGACCAGGAAGGAGCCTGGGTAGTGCATTGGGATTAGGGTGTGAGAGGGCGGATGCATGGAATTGTGGTCCTCCATTTCAGGAGGACCCAGGTCAGTGTTTGCAAGAAGGGCCTTTTGCATGTCTCCTCAGTGTGTCTAAGTAGCTGATATTTATTATTGTGAAGTTAGCCTTCCACCCATAGTGGATGCCTGCTCAGGAATACTCGAGATTTTATAAGTGTAAAGAAGGCCTGTTGTCTGTTTGCACCCACTGTAATAATCGTAAGAATACACGGTATAGCCTGCGTTATGGTCCCTCGAGGCATCTCTGCCCTGGGACAGTGAAAACCTGAGGCCATGTTTGCTTGCCAATGTTTGTAGCCTTCCAACAGCAGAAACTATTAATAGCCAAGGAACTTATAGCTCATATGTCATCACACAACCATTTCTGGGCTTCAAGGCTGCCCTGGTTAGGCGATGCCTCCCACATCAACAGCTGAGGAGGAGACTGAAAAGCCAAACTTCCAGCTGTGCAGCTCAGCCCAAACAGTCTTCGGGGTCTGCCCGGTCATGTATTTGTCTCCTATTTGTCTGGCACTGCATCCACGTGTTATCAGGCCATATTCTGAGCCTTCAGAAAAGATCCTGCCTTAATTTATTTCTGTTTTCAAGTGGCCACAGGGATTCAGGCAGCAGTGTCCTTCCTGGTGACCTTTTCCACGAAAGAGGTGACTTTTTTTTTTTTTTGTTTCTAAGTATGGGAAGATTCCAACATTCCTACTTTGGAAGTTAGCTTCCGAGTCAACCTGGTTGGTGTTTTCGGATGCCAGGGCACTGGAGGAAAAATAACTCACAGATTTTTATATACCTAATGGGTTTTAAATTGAACTGTTACGACAGGTATCACAGCCACCAGCCACTTTATTCTTTGTGCCTTCAGTTAGGAAAGTTGCTAATATTTTTTTTATGGGCTTATTTTCCGGTTTTAAAACGTTAAATACTTTTTAAAACAAAACAACGAAAACCTCCGATTCACTCCACACCACTCACTTGTTTCTTGCAGGGTGTCCCTGCTGCTTAAAATTCCCGTGGAGGGGCTGGCAAATCCTCTTGGTGCTGAGCTGTGGCCTCTCTGACAGCAGGTGCTAGAACTGAGGCGAGCAAGTCCTCCAAGATGTGACTTACGCTTTTGAGTCAGTGAATGTTCTGTGATGGACTTGGTGGCACCTGTCACGGGTGAGTGCTGGATGAGTGATGATGTTTGTTAAATCAGCATGGCAAAGGCACATCTTTACCCTTTAGCCCATCTGTTTTTTGATACTTGAAACTTCTGCCTTTTAAAATTCCAGGAACAGTGTTTTGTTTTGTTTTTGTCTTTCTGGCACCTTCTGAACTAAGACAAACTTGGATTTAAGTTACCACAATAAAACCACTCAGCCTTTGGCTGTTAGGGCTCTTCATGCCATTGACAGTCAAGAGTGAGGAGAGCCAATGGCATTTCCTGCTGCTTGACAAACTGTTCAATTAGGTCAGCAAAGTCCAGCGGCCATAGCTGCTCTGCCCGTGGCCCCTGTCCAGAGTGTAAGAGAATGGTCCACACTCTTCAGGTAAAGTTAGAACTGCCTGAAGTATTGACGCCTAACAGCACGTAGAGGATTTTACAATCCACGGGAAAACAACATGGGAAAGCCAGTTATTTTCCAAAGGTTCCAGTTACAGAAAAGTAAATGATCATCATAATGAAGAGAACCTTAAGGTGCCTTTTAAGACACACCAACAATTTGAAATCTAATGCTTAAAGACAATTCTGCTTGATATAATAATAACAATAACAACAACAATAATAATAGCTATGAGATACTTCAGGGTGAACTTTCTGACCTGAAGACACACTTAGACTGTTGAGACATTGAAACTGTGTGAATTGTGCACTTGCTGGGTTGTCCTCCCAAATGGATTTTACTGCCTGTCACTTAAAAATATTTTACTCAAGCCTAAATATTAAAGATTATGTGCAAAAGAAGTCCGTTTGTTAAGCTGGTATGTGTGTTGTGGCTTTGTTACAGAAGACAGCGTTTTGAGACTTCTTGGTGCAGTGATCTTTCCACCTGAAAGTCTCGGCCTTCCCTAGACATGGATAAGTGCTGGGCCTATCTAGGGAGGGACTTCTGTATCTGGAGCAGAGTTGTATGTGTGTTGCTAAAATACCTTCCCCAGGAAGACTTAAATCCACCCCTCCTGCCTCAGTAAAAAGTCAAGGTAGGATTTTCCCAGCAGTCACTCTGGGAACCAATGAGTTCAGTAGGCTTATTTGGGGACAATGGGTAAGGGGCTATGGGCAGGAGCAGGGGGGATGTTAAAGTAACCATACTAGGTGGTCTGCACACAGCAGTGAGGAGGACTTCCCCAAGGCTGTGCAGATGGAGTGGCCTCCCATAATCCTTCCCCACCCTTGCCCTCTAGCTCAGTGCTTCTCAGCTGTCCTAATGCTGCCACCCTTTAATATAGTTGTGGTGACCCTCAACCATAAAGCCATTCCATTGCTACTTCATACCTGTAATTTTGCTACTGTTATGAATCATAATGTAATATCTGATATACAGGATATCCAGTTTGTAGCCCCTGGTTGAGAACCACAGATGTAACCTTTCCTAGAGATGCAGAGGCCACTGAAATTGGGGTAGAGCTGTTTGGGTGGGGCTGCACTCAGGTGAGGCTCCTATCACCCTCCCTGCCCCCTCCTTCCAAGAAGAAAGGTCAATCGTCAAGAAGGTCAGCTGTGATGATTCTGGCAAGCAGGCCCAGCCAAAGCCATGAAGAAGGCAGCTTGAAGTATGGTCCTGTATGACAGTGTGTTCATAAAACTAAATATCTTACACCATAGGTCAGAGTTCAGGGACACTGGTAATTGTATTTTTCTTGCAGTCCTCTGTGGCTCCTGTGGACACCGGCTTACACTGTGACTCTCACTCAAGTACAAAGCCTTACATGTTGAGGATGGAGTGTGCTCTGTCTTATTTGCTTGGCCAAGATGCTTGGTGTGTTTGAAATCAATTGGTTGTGCTGTCTGATTGATAATCACTCTCGTTTTCTTAGCTGGAAAGAGAGGGGCTCAAAAAAGTGAATTCCACCTTCTCTCCCACAGCCAGCTGGCCTCAAAATCAGCATTCAACTGACTATGCAGCTTCATGCTCCTTCTGCCAAGGATATGGCTCGCAGCCTGTTTCCAATAAGAGTTTTAACAATGCACGTGAAAAGGGTTAGGAGATACAGCTCTTAGCCTGACTAGCACACAAAGTCAAGGTTTAATCGCTGGCACTGCAAAGGAAATAGGTTACTGGAAATCAAAGTTTGATCATCACTGATAAGGATTCCTTTCGGACTCCACATTTTAAAACCTTTAAGTAAAAACAAGCAATTCAGTATGACTAAATGAGTTTCCTTACTTTTCTACATAAACACCATGACCAAAAGACATTCCAGTAGGAAGAGGTTCATTTCCTCTTACGCTTTTGCATCACACAGTCCATCATTGAAAGATGTCAGAATTCAAGGTAGGAACAGAAGCAAAAGCTTACTGCCGGAAGTAAGCTACACCCTTCCACGTTAATTATTAGTTAAGACAACACCCCGCAGACTTGCCTACAGGACAATCTTCTGGAGGCATTTTCTCAATTGAGATTCCCTCTTTCCAGACACATCTAGGTTTATGTCAAGTTGACAGAAAACCGTCAGGACAGTGGTGACATACTTTATTCCTTCATGTTACTATTTAGAGGCACGTTTGTGTCTTTACTCACAAGCAGCTAATTGGGAAACCACTAAATTGCATCATGAAAGATGGTAAGTCTATTACAAAAAAAGAGCCAAGTGTGACGATAATGATAGGAGTCTTGGGTCATGAACTTGATACACTCTGATCTTATGTTTTGTATTATATATTGTTGGTACTTGTGTGTATAAATAATTCAAAAAGCATTGGAAACTAAATATCTGGAATACCTTCTAAAAGCCTGTAGATGTTGTTTAATTTTTTTTTAATTAGCATTTTCTTGGACCTGTAATTCCAGCCATTTGGGAAGCTGAGGCAGGAGGATATCAAGTTGAAGTTGTATACCTGTGCAACTTAGATCTTGTTTGAGAAAGTACGAAGAGGGCTGGAAGTATAAATCAATGGTAGGTCACTTGTCTGGCATGCATGAGGCCCTCAGTTCAATAAGTAGTCCATTCAAAGATCAGTTTAACAAAGCACAAAGTTGTAACAATGTCTGTAATTCTAGCTATGCTAAAGTTAGAAGCACTGCAGTTTATATTTTGTGTGACTTGAACTGCCCTGGTCCTTGGGTGTTTTTTTTTGTGTGTGTGTTGTTTACTTTCCATGCACTTTCCCAAGCATATTTTAATCAGAATCAATCGAGTGCTGGCCACTTGTGGAAGGCTGTCTTCTGAGTGTAACAGCTAGCATCTTCATGGGAGCAGCTGTTACTATCAGACCTAAGAAAGACTGACCTGCAGCTTCTGACATTCCTTCATAGAACTGGGTGGGGTGGGTCACTAGACCCTCACCGGAGGTTCTCTCCCTCTTCATGCCCCTCTCCAGCTATACATAATTCTGCTCTAGCTGCACATGGCCTCACGGGCTTAGGTGCTGCTAAAGCATGTAAGGGGAGGTAGGCTGCCTCAAGGAGTGTTTCTGGAGGTGCAACTGCAGGGAAGTCTTCATTAATCATCCATACTGGCCTTAAGTTATTCAGTGATACAGCCGCTTCAATGTCATTTGCATCCTGTAAGTGAGCCGGGGCAAGCTCTGTTATCTAAGACGTGGGGGAACCCTGCCTGTGGTCTGTCATTGGAGCCCTATGTGGGGTTAGCAGACATTAGATCTCATTCCCCAGGAACAGTTAAGGAAACAACGCTGAAACCTGGGTCTGCTCCAGACTGAGCTGCACCCTAGCACCAATATATATATAATATATATTATATATATATAATATATATATAATATACATATAATATTTACATATCATATATATGATATATATAATTGCTTTTACATAATAAATCAAGATGTTACTTTAAAAAAAAGTAACTCTGATTTGGCACCATCTATATCAATTTTCATCTCTCCTCGTGCGAAGCCATAGAGCTTCCACTAGGTCACAGCATGACCAAAAGGGTTGAATGAAACAGCGTTGTCTGTTGTGGCGATGCAAAGCAGGCTGCACCATGCATGCCCGAGCAACTTGTCAAAAGACAAAATGGAGGAGCTACAGCACCGCCCCTATGGAAGGAAGGCAGGGGCACGAGGACTGCCTAGCTGAGGGGAGGTGGGGCCGCCCACTGAGCGCAAGTTCGGCCTCCTAATGGTGTTTTCTCACCACATGCGAAATGCGCAGCGCCCCCTGCTGGCAGGCGGCTCCGCAGCACAGCATCGCCTCACTGCAGGAGTCAGGAGTCTCAGAATAGGAAAGCAGCTCCAGACACCTCTGAGGGTACTTCCGTCACTTCCGGCTGGCCTATCGAGGACCGGGCAGGGGTCAGAGGTCATCGGAAGTGGGACGAGACAGACGTGCAGTTCTTCCCAGGAGCACTCGCTGGGCTCCCTCCTACACGCCTGCGCCCCTTGAGGGTAAGGGGCGTGGCTTGGGTGGGTGACGGCGCTGATTGGACGAGCGCTTCCCGCTTTCGCTTTCCGTTGGAGCCCGGGAGGCTGAGGAGGCGCGGTGGCATTCGACGTCCGACGTCCGGAGTCCCGAGCCGGAGGCGGTCGCCAAACTGGGCTGTCCTGGGCTGAGGTGGGGCAGGCCGGTGGGAGGGGGTGGCGGGGACACGTGCTGTGGCGTGGCGTGGTGTGGGCGGCACTGGCCGCAACCGTACAGGGAGGAGTTGGTGAGGCCGAGGGAGGCCTGAGCGGCCTGGGCGTGGTAATGGTTGGGGGTGCGGGGGGCCACCTGGTGCTGACCCGATGCCCCTAAGCCTGTGCATGCGCACTGGGGGCGGGGCGTGGGGCTCGTAAGCACGAGGGTCCTTGTCGGCCATCTCTGTGGCCGTGACTGACCTGGCGTATTAGGGAATCCCCACTGGCCTCCAGTCTAAGGCCCGGGGAGGACAGGGGCCTCACCCAGCTCTGGCGAGAGAGGGCACACGCATTCGCAGAACCTGCTCATAAGCGCAAGCGAGTGCTCAAGGCTTGAACGTGGGCCTAGCCCTCGGATCTTCTTCGAAGTCACTTTGCCTCTCTCTGTTTCTGAGTTGTTCCGGCATCACCTGTCCAGTAATTGGGCCTGGGTCAAAGTCCGCTAACTTGACCCAACCCTGTGTGTGAAAAGTTGTGTGCTTCCTGTCCTGGCTGAATTATGAGTTTCAGAAAGATCATTGAAAGGTTTTCTTTGTTTTGCTTTCACTTTCGTTTGTGAAGGGTTGGCTAGTTTGACATACAGCTTAAAAGAGCTGTTTTTTATTTCACCGCAGTTTGCATTCTTTCAATGTTGTGGGTGTATAACTGGATTACTTTCCCTTTTATAAATCCATCTAAGATAGTAAGACCTGGAGAGGACAGGAGCTCCACAAGGAGGGGAACAGAACCAAAAAATCTGAGCACAAGGGTCTTTTCTGAGACTGATAATCCAAAAAGGACCCTGCATGAAGATAAACTAGAACCCCTGCTTAGATGTAGCCCATGGCAGCTCAGTGTCCAACTGGGTTCCCTAGTAAGGGGAACAGGGACTGTCTCTGACATGAACTCAGTGGCTGGCTATTTGACCACCCCTCCCCAGGAGGGAGCAGCCCTGCCAGGCCACCGAGGAAGACAATGCAGCCAGTCCTGATGAGATCTGATAGGCTAGGGTCAGAGGGAAGGGGAGGAGGACCTCCCCTATCAGTGGACTTGGAGAGGGGCATGGGAGATGAGGGAGGAAGGGACTGTGGAATTGGGAAGGAAGGAGGGAGGGGCCTACAGCTCTGATACAAAGTGAATAATTAATAGAAAATTTTTAACTTAAAAAAATCCAAAATATAAATACTAATTAAAATTTCCTTTTCCTTGGTTGGCTTCTTTGTACAAAGTAAGAGTAGAAAATATAACTGTCCAGCTAGCATAATATGTCTTTGGTCATAATTATTCTGTGCTGTATTATGGCTCAGAGCACTTCAGGGAAAGTGCATTACTTCCAGTTGTGTTAGTTGTGAAACATTCTGACAGGACTGCACTGACACATGCTGGCCCTTAGGAAACAGAGTACACAAGATCTCTACAATATATTTTAAATATTAGATGTTTTAAATCACATTTTCAAATTGGAAATGAAATAAAATGTTCCAGTCTTCAATTTCATAGATACACTTTAACTGCAGTAAAATGGAAAAAGGATCTAAACGTATTTTTATGACTATTGGTAAAATACCTACTCTGAATGTATTCATTATAGATATTTGATATTGGGCTGAAGATTTTTTGATTAGTAATAAAGATCTTACTTTATAAATTAATACATTTTATATATTTTCACTTTAAAAAATGTATTTTTATTTTATGTACATTGGTGTGTTTTGACTGCACATATATCTGAGTAAGGGTGTCAGATACCCTGGAACCAGAGTTATAGACAGTTGTGAGTTGCCATATGGGCGCTGGGAGTTGAACTCTGATCAGTGATATTCTCACTTTCTTAAAATCACTGTTAAACCACTTTTTGAAAATCATTAGGATTGAAACGATGCATATTTACATTCAAAGTATGTTAAATGGGTATTTTTTAATAATATTTTTAAAATAGTTCTGGCAAATTGAATTTTCCTCAGAATTAACTATTGACCTTACATATTAACACTAAAGATGTGTAAGCAACAATTTTAATAAATTTTACTGTATCTTATAGGAATGAGCTTACCCAGTATTCTAATAGTTGCTTGCTAGCTAACTGCTACCTATGAAGTAATTTAAGATGAGAGATGCTTTATTAAAAGAAAAAACAGTTTATGATCTGAGAGAAGGGAGCTTGAGAATAAAAGATTATGTATCTGAAGGAACAAAGGGAAGAGACTGGCTTATACAGAGGAAGCTTTTGCCCCTTCCCAAAACTCTTTCTTTTCTTTCTTTTGGTCAGTTTTATTCCTGATTCCTACTTTTTTCTCACTGTTGTATAAATAATCCGTGTTCACAGATCTAATATGAACCCTCTTTTTTTAAACACATACAGAGATATCCTTCACAGAATGTAGTTTATATTTCTCATAAACACTCTCTAGAGAGAAATCTGTGTCCCCCTTCGCGTTAGTTTTTACCCTGCTTTTAGGTGGGCCTCATTCTGAACTAAAGACCAACTGATTAAATTACGTGTTTAAGTACCCAGTTGTATCCTGTGCACATTGCGTTTGTTTATCTACTTTCTCCCTACCATGCCAACAAAGGCAGTTGGTTTTGTTTTTCTTTTGTTCTTTTTTTCTTTTCTTTTTTTTTTTTTTGTTTTGCTGTTAGAAACAGCATTGCAATAAACATTAAGCACTCTTTTTGTACTTACTTGTTTCTGAAAATGTATAACTAGAAATGGAACAGATAAATTTTTTGCCTTATCTCTATGTCTTTCAAAGTGTAATTATTGATACCCACCATTTCGTCAGGCTTTTTAGTTTTTGCCAGCCTACTAAATATTGTACTTGGTTATGTTTTAATTAGAAATTCTGTTATGGAGGTAATATCTTTTCCTTTTATTAGCCACTTTAGTTTCAAGATTTTCCTGAATGCTTTGTTCTTTATCTTTTCCACTTCTATATTAATTTTCTTCTTGATCCCTCAGTTCTTCAAAATTATTTTAAAAGTATGTCTTAGGAACAAAACAAAACAAGATAATAATTTAACTAAAGTATATGACAAATATATAGAAAGGATTAAGAAACTATTCTATTTGGTATAAGAACAATGAATATCATTTTTAAGATTTTCTAAACTGTAAATACATGGAACAGATGAGATTATATAAAGTGTTTTTTCTCATAGGTGTCTGTCTCCTCCTGCTGTTCTTAAATGAAGTCAAAATGCCAGTGAAACCAGACCTCCAAGTATGTAGTCCCTACACCACAAGCAGGCATTTTAATCATTAAAATAACTTGTGTACTTACATATATCTGTTGCTCTATCTTTAACGACAAACTTAAAGTCTTATGAAATACTCAATAAAAATTTAAATATGGTTTCCTTGATTAAAATATTTTTAAACTATGTTAAGAAATTAGATATGAAAATATTGATTATTCATACATGTTTTCCTTCTTGAAATAGTCATGCAGTGATTAATGTATCATACCTGGATATTCAGATCAAAGTTTTAACTTGTCTGATCCTTATACTTACTTATATTCAATTTACCACTAAGTCTGTCCAGTAATCAAATTGCAATCTAAAGCTTATTTATATCGTACTGTAATGATTTTGACTTAATAATGGGGATAGCAGGTTTGATAAAAGTCATACTATGGTAATACTTAAGTTGAATTAGTAAATATAATTTTTAAAAGGCAAATGTATCCTTATGCAGTTTTATTTTTGCAATTTTATTTTTAAATATGAAGTTTGTACTCAGATATTTTAGGATTTTGTTCATCTTATTAAATATGGTTACTATCATGTTGGCTTTATTTTACATCAAGTTTGTGATTTTATTTGGTTTGATAAAAATGTAAGTATAAATTAGAAACTTTAATAAAATATCTTCTATCTGAAATTATTACTAAAGAAAGTTTCTAATTCAGTTACTCTGAATAGTGATGTTTTTTTAAGTAAGTTTTTTATTGTCTGGTTTGATTATTTTCATTCAGAAACCACTCTTTGGTTACTTAGATGCAAAAAGTGACTAATTTTGATGGAATATCTGTGCTGTTAACTGTATCTCTCCAGCAGCTGGAAAAGTGTATTGATGATGCTTTGAGGAAAAATGACTTCAAACCTTTGATAACACTTTTACAAATTGATATTTGTGAAGATGTGAAAATTAAATGCAGCAAACAATTCCTCCACAAGTTGGATGACTTAATATGCAGGGTAAATACTCGTTTTTGTTTAATGGCTCTTAAAATTATTACATATGATTTTGCTTTCTAGGAACAAGTATGCCATCCAAAACATATGAACAGAGAAGGCCTTGGGCAAGCTTGCTTACAATTATTTAAATATTTTATTTCACCATTTGCTAATTACTTGAAGCATCTCAACACATTGAACTCTTGTTTCTAAAGTAAAATTTATAAAATCTGTGTTCCAAAGGCTACCATTATTAACATGAGTGGAAAGATTACCTATAAACAACTTTATTTTTTAAAGACCGATCAGCATATTTATGGTGGTGTACAGTGCTTGGTGATTTCAAAAATAAAGCAAACACAAAACACTTCTAAAATTTATACTTAAGAAAAACTAACTAGGCCAGGGGGACCTGCAGAGACTGATGAATCAACCAAGGACCATGCATGGAGAGGACCTAAAGCCACTGCTCATATTAGTCCATTGGCAGCTCAGTCTTCATGGGGGTTCCCTGATAAGGAGAGCAGGACCAGTCACTGGCATAAACTTGGTTGCCTGCTCTTTGATCACCTCCCCTTGGTGAAGTGGTCTTATTAGGCCACAGAGAAAGAGGATGCAGACAGTCCTGATAAGACCTGATAGGCTAGAGTCAGATAGTAGGAGAGGAGGACCTTCTCTATTAGTGGACTAGGAGAGGGACATGGGGGGGGGGGGGGGAAGACAAGGGAGAGTGAGTCAGGGAGGAGATGAGGAAGGGGGCTACAGCCAGGGTACAAAGTGAATAAATTGTAATAAATAATAATATAATGAAAAAAGAAAAGCTAACTATAAATTAGGTATAATATCCAGGTATCCAAGATTAATGATGAATCATTGGTTGTATAAGAATTTGTGATCTACTTATGGTAGCTCACATAAAGCCAGCACATAGGATGCTGAGGCAGGAGGAATGCCACAAGTTCCAGGCGTGTCTCCAAAACAAAGTCAGTCTTGAGTTTAACTCTTTAAAGTGGAAAGGAAAATATTTCTATAGAGTTCCTTGATTTTATGCAGATGACAATTTGCAGTTTGCTGTTATCTGAGTGATTTGGGACAACTTCTCTTTATTAAACAGTTCTGCTCATTCTTTCAATTATAACATGACAAGAATGGCTCCTTTTAGGACTTATGAGGGCTATCATTGATGATGCTCCTGCAACAATGTCTATTCCATTCTACTTATAATCTGTAGCAGTGTGAATATATACATTTCATTTTAGGAACTTAATAAAAAGGATATCCAAACTGTTTCAAACATCTTGATATCTGTTGGAAGATGTAGCAAGAATATTTTTATACTGGGACAAGCTGGACTTCTAACCATGATGAAACAAGGATTAGTTCAAAAGATAAGTATATATTCAGAGGAGGGAAATCTGATGAAGGTACAGTTTCTATTAAGAAAGGCAAGAGTTCAGTTGCTAAATGTAAACTTAGGAACTTTATGTAGAACTTGTGAGAGTAAAGTAAATGCTTTTATGATGTGGGAATACACTAGAAAGATAAAGGAACTGCATAAGTTCCTTGACAACTATGTGGATTTAGGATCACAAGATGCCAGTGGGCTTTTACTTGAATCATTTTCTGTTGACTAGGTCATTAAGGTTGTTTACTGTCTGATGCCCACACTAAAATATATGAGACTGATTTTTATATTTTTACTCACTCACATACAACCAGCAAATTGATGTATCAGGAGACACTATGTACTCATACATGAATCAAATTAAGGTAAACTAATTCCAGAAATATCCAAATAATATAAATTGTCATGATAATTTTAGAAGATTATAACAAGTGTATCTCTAGTAGATATTTTAAAAGGGAAGTGTGAAGGTCTTTGAAGTAAAATTAATATTATCTTCATTCCTATTTTAAACAGTGAGGAATAGAATAAGTTAAAAAATATAAGACATTATAAAATATAAATTGCTTTGGTTCAGTACCAGAGTTTTTTTAATTTTTAATGTCATTTTATTCATAGGTTTATCGACAAAACAAATATATGTACATAAAAATTGTTAAAATGGAATTCAAGATAATGAATTTATATATTCATTTTTTACATGGCTTCCTGGTTTGAAAATTCCAAGGAGATTATTCTGAGTCAAGGACAATCAAAAGATGAAGCTGTTATGAATATGATAGAAGACTTATTTGATCTTTTGATGGTAAAATGACATTGACTGTTATAGAACATGTTTTTATTAGATAACCATTTGCTTTGGTTCTAACAATCATTAATAGACTAGCTAGTGACTTGGATGGATTAATCTGTCTAGACTGTATAAAGAACTTAAGCTGGCTAGTATTAAATAGTTTATTAAGAAGTAAAAGTTATTCTATAAGTTGAAATTTGTTACTTTAATAGCTTTTGTGGTTATTTATAATAATAAATTATAAATTATATATTTACTTTTTTAGGTCATATATGACATCAATGATGAAGGTAAAATTTCTTACTTCTATGAAAACAAGTTTCTGGGAACTTTTAGTATAATTTTGTAATACCCATGATATTGTCCTAGGAACTCGTGATCTCATGAAAGAATCAAAGTTCTTCTGTAAAGGACCCAGATGGTAAAGTTTTAGACTTTGTAGGCTAAGAGAAAAAACAAAACAAAACAAAACAAAACACACATGAGGTGTGTTTTTCTTACATATGTAAGAAAATAAATTTCAAAAATGATTTATGGAAACAATTAAGAATGCATTTTTATATTATGTATTTTTTAATACAGCAAAAATAATATTCTTGTATTTTACTGAGGGTCAAAGTTTCTTTATTTTAAAAATTAACATGTTCATAATGAAATTTTATGTATGATTTACAGGAAAGGCTAGTATTTGGCCTTATCTTCAGGAAAAGCTATTAGTTAAAGAACATTTTACATAAAATGTCCAGAATTTAGAGGTTTAATTGAATTTTGATATTTTCTAAAATTTTTGCTGTTAGAATGTCTGTTCTTTAGATTGTCGTTGAGTAATTACTTCCCAGTGAAGGTAATGCGGACCATACAACAAAATGTACATTGATTGTAGCAGTTTCCTTTTTATTAAAATCAATCTCCAAAAGTATTGTTGGACCTCAAATTAGAGCTTGGAAAAAAACATAATATCCTCTGCATATTTGTGTAGGAATGGAAATATGCTTTGTTTTTTCTTATTTGAGACAGGATCTCTCATAACTGAGAGACCTTGAATTCTTGATCCTCTTGCTGCTACCTCATATTACCTGAAACACAATAGATATATATTTATCTATGCATGTGTGTTTTTACAGAATGAATGCAGCATAACTCAAGTTTTAGAACTTAGCTAATAGAAATGTAATAGGGATCTGTGTTGACAAGAGAACCTAAACTCTTATCAGGAAAGTTCCAGCCTTGGGAGTCAGGATTGAGAGCAGAGATACAGCCAACTGCAGAGACAAGACCAAGACCAAGACAGAGGGGAAGCAGTGGGTCTCAGGTCCAGATTAGATGAGTGAGTAGATTGTCAGACAGCTGTCATACAGGCCACCTCAGCAGTGGGGTGCTGAGCTAAAGCCCTAAGGATAACTGAGAGTTCTTTGCCTTGTTGGTACTTGACCCATACACCAGGCGTCATATGACAGTTCGGTTGTGGGGCCATTGCTTTAGCAGTGCTAAGTTTCTCCTACTTTAGGGAAGGCAGGTGAGGTAGTTTTATCTCTTTCCTTAGTCTGGCTGCCTGATTTTCTTGGGCCTGCTTTCTCTGATATGATTTAAATACATGTGCCTATACAGTGTTAATTCATCTTGAAAAAAAGAAAGTTAGCCCCTTTATAATTACCAGGAATAAGTCATTTATGGGTCTGCACTCCAGGGTGTGGTGCTGGATAGATGGTGCTGTTCATGTGATAGGGGCCTTCCTGAGGGAGAGGGTTAGGGCTCCCCAGTACTGGAGAGTTATAGGGTCTTTGTTGACAGAGTGGCCTGGAGAAGAGATAAGGAGTCAGCTAGGGGAGGGAAGGAGTCAGGCTACAGTCAGTGGAATTTAGCAGCTCTGGCTATGTAGCAATCAGGCCACTTCTGTGGCTCTGACTTGCTCTCAACTAGGTGCTTTTTTATACAAGTTTCACAGAACAAAGACAGACTAATAATTATCCAAGTGGTATATGTATCCAACAGAGTATGTGTTTGACTTTTCATTACATGTCCAGGGTCGTGTAATTACAAGTAGAAAATAAAAACAGAACAGAATTTTTATTATTATCCCTATACCTACAATTTAAAAGATCTAAAGAATGTCTCCTCCACAGCAAATACATTTAATATGTAACAGCCTGCTTTTAAGCAATGTTTGCTGTTTGAAAGCACTCCAGACAAACTGGTCTTTTTTTTTTTTTTTTAATAATCAGGTTTTTAATTGTAATGCAAGCACGTTGTCTAAAAATATCAACTGCATAGAAGGATTTGAGGCTTAAAGAAAATACAATCTATTCTTAACTGCCCACCTCCTACTCCCAATTTATGCTCATATTAGCATCATTTTATACATCCTTCCAGAAATGTCCTGTTCATCCTTTCCTTTCTTTCAACATATGTTCCCCTGAAGTGTCTTTATTTTACACAAATGTCACCCCATCTTTCTTTTCCATCATCTCCTTTTCTATATATGCTCACCAAACTCTGTATCTTAGATGTTTCTATACCTGTATCTATAACCCTGCCTCATTTTTTGAGTATCTATCTGGTATTCTTAAAATATTTATTTATTTTTATTTCATGTGCATTGGTGTTTTAGCCACATGTATGTCTTTGTGAAGGTGTCTGATCCCCTGGAACTTGAACTACAGACAGGTGTGAGCTTCCCTGTGGGTACTGGGAATTGAACTTGGGACCCCTGGAAGAGCAGTCAGTGCTCTTTTTTTATTAATTACAATTTATTCACTTTGTATCCCCCTTCCCTCCTCCCCTTCCAATCCTATCCTCCCTCCCCTTCTCCCTCCCCAAGTCCCCTGATAGGGGAGGTCTTCCTCTCCTTCCTTCTGATCCTAGTCTATCAGGTCTTATCAGGAGTGACTGCATTGTCTTCCTCTGTGGCCTGGTAAGGCTGCTCCCCCCTCAGGAGGAGGTGATCAAAGAGCAGGCCACTGTCACAGACAGTCCCTCTTCCCATTCCTATGGAACCCACTTGGACACTAAACTGTCATGGGCTACATCTGTGCAGGGGTTCTAGGTTATCTCCCTGAATGGTCCTTGGGCACAAGAGACAATTTCATCGCAGTATATATTCATGAGACTGTCTTATAATTGGAAGTTTCACTAACCAGCATTCTCAACTCTTAACAAAAGTTGGTAACAAGGTTGATGATGCATGCAGAAGGGGGAGGGAAGGTGGGGTTAGAAGGAGAGGAGGGAGAGGTTTATGGGGGGCTACAAAGTGAGTAAAGTGTAATTAATAAAAATTAAAATAAAAAAGAAGAAAAAATATATATTGATAACCAGTTTTTGAAATTTGAGGGTTTAATTTTTTTTCAGACATATCTTGATCATGTTTTCCCCTCAGTCAGCTCCTCCTAGATCTATCCCATCTCCCTATCCACTCAACTTCATGCATCTTTTCTCTTTCTCTCTCTCCCTCCCTTCCTTCTTCCTTCTTCCCTTCCTCCCTTAAGAATAAAATCAAAATCAAAATAATAGTACAAAGCTAAAAGCCCTCCCACCAAGACAAAACAGAACATGGGGTCCATTTTTGGTTTTGCCACCTGCTCTGGGCTTGGAGCCTGTTCTGGAGTGTGGTTTATAATAACCAGTAACACTCCTTTGGGGCGGGGGTGGGGGGTGGGTTTCCTAGCAGGTATCATCAGCAAGCAGCTAAAAGGTGAGGATTTAAGTAAAAATTAAAACCTTCAAGTCACTTAGAGATTCATGAGAGTCAGATATGTTGATTTCTTTTAAAAATAATGTTTGAAGTATGATAAAAGTTAACAAGTCTAGTTTTCATAAACACTTCAGATAGCAAGTGACTGTCAAATTTGTCAAATCTGTCAAAAATTTATTATTTTTATTATTTTATTCAGGTAAAAAACAAGTGTTGGAAACTTTCATACCTCACATTTGTACCCTGGTTATTGATACAAGAGTGAATATTTGCATTCAACAGGAGGTAACTGTCTTTTAAAACCTAAAAATGAAAAAGTAAATGATAAAATAAAAAAACTTACCTTAGACTAAGTTTCTTAAATTAATTTCATGTTGTATATTTCTATTGTCTGAATCATTCATTGCCTAACAATGTATTTCATAAATAAGTATAAAAATCCACACTTGAATGGATTTATATATGTATATCACTAATGTGAGAATCTATACACCTAGGTACTAGGAGTTCTCTAGTATGTAAATATCAAAATAGCATGTAGTTTTGTTTGTGTACATTCATATGCATAACCATTAAAACAAAAAAATTACTTACTCCCTTAGGTCTTAGAATAGTTGTGTGAAAGCTTCAGCAAGGGAGTCATGCTGCACCCACAGTGCATCTTAGGCTGGATGTTCTTGCCTTCACCTGACTTACATTCCCTACCTAGCATGATTGAGAGAAAACCTAGGCTTTTATGTTCATGTACATATTTCTGTAAGTGATTCTTGGAAATCAAAGTTACTTTTCTTCTCTTTCAGGCTTTAAAAAAAGTGAATTTGATGCTTGACAGAATACCTCAAGATGCCAACAAGATACTTTCTAATCAAGAAATGTTAACTCTCATGTAATAATTTTTAATAACTTGTTCTGATAAATTGTTCAGTATAAGAATTGTAAGAAATTTGGCAACCACAAGTTTTAATTAAATAATGGAGTCTGAAAAGCTTATAAATTTTGATATAGTATAGTGTTTATATTTCCTCCAAAAGTCAGTTGTACTATCCAGTTGTATTTTTCTCAAAACATGATGGGATTTCTATCTAGGTGATCTTAGTTTACTGTGTAATTTTTTTATTTTAATTCACAGGAGTAATATGGGAGAAAGGATTTTAGATGTAGGAGGTAAGTATGTCTTTCCAAGATTTGAAATCACTTCAAATTTATGAATGTTTTATATTTTTGACAATCTTATTACCCTTCAAATGTTACTAGACTACACCAAAAGTATTATAATCTGTTTATATAAACTAAAAGAAGAATTAATAAAAATAAAGACATATCTTGGAACAAATAATTTGTCAAAAAATTAGACAAATACAAGTGTGATAGTTATGAATGGTAACAATGCTCCAATATATTGGGAATACTTATGCTAAAATATTTTTAAATGTGACTTATTGAAATTATAATGTCTAATATTTTTGCAGTTGATAGATAATTTTTAAACAATATATTACTACAAAGAACTTAATTTTTTTAGATTCCTATGAGTAAATTTTTATTTAGTGACATATAGAATAAATTATATCTTTCATACATACTCTGGGATAACTGTAAACATAACAAAATTTTATATCTTTATAAATTGTTTTTTAATTTACAACTATAATGAAGTGATAAAGTCTTGACTCATGGGTTTCTTTGACTTTTAAGAAATTAATAAGTTAAATAAACATTTTCTCATTTTTCTTGTTCTTGTGCCTTACAAAATGGAGTTTTATAAGCTTAATTTTTAGAGTTTTGTCCTTTACACTAATAATTTTTTTTAAGATTATGAATTACAGGTAGGCATTGTGGAAGCTTTATGTAGAATGACCACAGAAAAACGGAGACAAGAACTTGCATGCCAGTGGTTTTCAATGGATTTTATTGCTAATGCATTTAAAGAAATTAAAGACTGTGAATTTGAAACGGTAAGTTGTATAAAAATAACAAATTTAGTAAAGATTTTTGTATAATTTTGATTTTTAAAACTTTCATTTTTTAAACTAGGATTGCAGGATATTTCTCAATCTGGTAAATGGCATGCTTGGTGATAAGAGGAGGTAAGCCTGATGCAGAGGAAGCCATTTGTGGGTAAGGAAGAGCTGAGCCCAGTGATGAGTGTTTATAGTTGTTGCTGAACTGTGAAGTATGTAGATGTGTTCAAGATAGTATTTATATAACATACAGTAAACTAGTGCATTGTAAACCTGAGAGACTCCTCTGATAGCTTTATTTGACTTTATGCTTAGGAGGAAAATGTGTCTTATTTAGCTTATATTAATAATTGAGTGTCCTAATTTGTTTTACTCTGTTTCAGAATTGTGTGTATATTATTTGGTGTTTAAGGAATGATAAAAAAAAGTCTGGCCATACATCTACACACTGGAGTGAAAGTATATAATAAATAAATTCTCCAACAGTATAAGAAACAGAAGTAGGATTTATGTGTGTGGGTATTTTTACCTGCATGTATGTCTGTGTGTGCATGTAGTTCTGAAACAGACAGAAAAGAGTGTTGGCACTGGAATTTACAGAAGGTTGTGAGAAGCCATATGCTTGGGTGCTGGGAATTAAACTCAGGTGCGCTGAAAGAACAGCAAGTTCTCTTAATAGTTGAGCCATCTCTCCAGCCCAGAGCAACAGTATACCTGGCCCCTACAAGTGTTCTGAATTAATTGTGTTTCCTTTATTTACTGAGTGAAAGATAGAGTTAGGCCTAACTGCAGTGAGTCATGTTGCCTGCATTTGAATCCTAGGTTCCCATCTGTTCTATTCTCTAAGTTATTTAACCTTACTATCTTTGTTTCTTTAGATTCATGATAGGAATACTAATAATACTCATTTTTTTTATTTTTCCAATTTATTACCATGTTTTATTTTTTTATCACAATATTTTTTTTATTTTTATAATTTATTCACTTTGTATCCCCACTGTAGCCCCCTCCCTCATGCACTCTAAATCCCACTCTCCCTCCCTCATCTCCTCTCATGCCCCTCCCCAAGTCCACTGATAGGCAAAGTTCTCCTCCCCCTCCATCTGACCTTAGCTTATCAGGTCTCATGAGGACTGGCTGCATTGTTTTCCTCTGTGGCCTGATAAGGCTGCTCCCCAATCATGGGGAGTTAATCAAAGAGCCAGCCACTGAGTTCTTATCAGAGACAGTTCCTGTTTCTATTTCTAGGAAACCCACTTGGACACTGAGCTGTCATGGGCTACATCTGTGTAAGGGTTCTAGGTTATCTCCATGCACGGTCCTTGTTTGGAGTATCAGTCTCAGAAAAGACCCCTGTGCCCAGAATTTTTTGATCTGTTGCTCTCCTTGTGGAGCTTGTATCCCCTCCGGGTCTTTTTATCTCCTTCTTTCCTAATATTCCCTGCACTCTGCACAAAGGCATCTCCTTCAATACCTTGCTGGGTAAAGTCTTTCAGCGGCCCTCCTGTCCTGTTGCCTGTTTTCTCCTTCTTCTGATGTCCATCACCTTTGCCTTTCTGCAAGAGGATTGATCATCTTCCCCAGAGTCCTCCTCCTTGCTTAGCTTCTTTAGGGGTACAGATTTTAGTATGATTATCCTATATTATATGTACTTATAAGTGAATATCCATATAAGTGAGTTTATATGATGTATGTCTTACTGCTTCTGGGATAACTCACTCGGGATGATCTTTTCTAATTCCCACCATTTTCCTGCAAATTTCACGATTTCCTTGTTTTTTATTGCTGAGTAGTATTCCATTGTGTAAATGTACCATAATTTCTGTATCCATTCTTTGGTTGAGGGACATCTGGGTTGTTTTCAGATTCTGGCTATTATGAATAAAGCTGCTATGAACATGTTTGAGCAAATGTCCTTGTTGTATATTTGAGCACTGAGATATTCAGGGCACCAGCACATGTGCATTGTGCCCACGAATAGCACCAAGCACCCACACCTCCCCCTCCACTCCTGCTTAAGCGTTACCCTTCAGGCAGGCATCAACTAATACTACGTATTACTTATGTTTGCTATACAGATAGACAGAACATACTAAAGTACTTAAAATAGTATGTTGCCACGAAAATGCTCTAAAAATTTAATAACTTACTATCAAAGATTACGCCTATGTACTTTTTACACACCCAAGTCCTGTGGGAACTTGCATTGTGTTAATATGTAATTCTAATTAGGAACACTTGTTCATATTTGGAATGATATTTTAATTGGTATAATTCATTTAGTGAAAGAGTAATTTCTTTACCTAAACAAATTTCCAGTAAATTTTTGTTTAAAATGGTAATGGCTTAACCTGGAAAGTCTGGTGGTTTTCACCTATTATCTCAGCTACTTGTGAGGTTACAGCAGGAGTATCATATTTGAGGACAGTGTGGGCAACAGTAAGACCTCCTATCTCAAAAATGGAATTAAAGAGATTATTTTATTTTTAAAATGTTATAACAAATATCTAATTTCCCATTCATTCTAGACATTGTTTTTTTATGACTGAACAAGTTAATTCTGGGAAGGCTGATATATTTTTTTCTTAAATTGTTTTATGTTTTAGAGTCTTTACATTTCCTTGCTTATCAGCATTTCTTGATAAATATGAGGTAAGTTTTAAATTTATACAAATTTGAGTTATTAGATAATTTTATGTAAAAATTAAATAGATTGTAGAATAGAGAATGATTTAAAACAGTAAAAGCACTAGACTTAGCTGATGGTACAGCTAGTCCTGTAAATTACAGTGACACCAGGAAAAATATGAACCAGCCCTTCTTAGCAAGAATGGAAAACCACAAGGCTGTAGTTTTTTTTCCATTCTCTTCTCCCGTTAAAAGCATTACTAATATTCATAAGTATATTTAAAATATTCTTAGTCTCTATTAATACTTAAAATGGTTTTTGATTTCTCGATTTAATTTCTATGTAAAGCACTTAAGTAACATTTCCTTGTTCTAAATTATCTAAATGTTAGCACATTGCTGCTGTCTTCATCTACTATACTTTATCTCTAGAAAGTATTCAGGGAATGTTCTACTTCATATAAGTGTTGGATTCTAGAATAAAAAAAAACTCAAGTAATATTTCAGTCATGACTATAACCTGATATTTTTCTGTGTTTTATAAGCATAAGCATGAATTATATTTTAAATGTTATAGTAAATATAATATTAGTTTTAAATATTATATTAGCTGCAGATACCATCAGATGAAAAACTTGAGGAATTCTGGATCGATTTTAATCTTGGGAGCCAGACTCTGTCATTCTATATTGCTGGAGACGATGAGGTAAGCTCTTATCTATTTGTTACAAATGTGAAGAATGTTCTTTAATATACTTTCAGAATGCATGTTTGTACTTTTCTTAGCCATTTTTTATTTCAACTTTTACCTTTTAATTTTAAGATTGTATAAGCTACCAAGATAATTAAAATGAAACTTACTTGATTTTTTATAACAAAATGAGTGCTAAATTTTAATACTAAATTTTGCATAAATCTTTCAGAAATAAATAGTAGTAAAATTTAATTTTTTGGTCATATGAACAAAATGAATCAACATTAGAAAAGACAGCATGGAGGCTGCTCAGTGGTACAGTGCTAAGCAGGCAAGAGGCCCTTGGTGACTCAAGCACTCCATGAGAACTAAGACTGGTAGGTGACAGCAAATCATGTTACTCAGGCTTGAAATCTGGGAAGAAGTGAAGGAATTGCTACTTACAATAGCATGTAGAAGTGAATTTTAGTTTTATATTGTATCATAGCCATGTGTAGACCTTACAAGGTAGAATATTTCTGTTGTCCTATTTGTTACCTGAGGAAAGAGATTGAATTTATTGTATTCTAGCTATCAGTTCATATTTAGTTACAGTGGCATATATCTGCTCAAATTGTGTAGTCACTACCAAATTATGATAAAGCTGATCAGCACTTACTAATCTGGTTGTGGCTGCTGGTATTATAAGGAGACTCTTTTTAATCTAGTTTTAATCTAGGTGGGTTTTTTTGTTGTTTTTGTTTTTGTTTTTTTTTTTTACAATCCTACTTCTTTCCCCCATAGAATTTTTATTAGTGAATGTTAGTCAATACATCTTAGAGTTTTCACATACTTTTTATTATAGAGTACCTTTGTAGAATGCTTATTTTCAGAAACTATTAGAATGCTGTAATCTCTTTCTTGGTACAGTTTGGTGTACCATATCTAGACCAGAAAATAACCAATCATACTGTAGTATACATAATAGGTAATAAATAAATCCATATTTAAATTGTGTTTTAAATTTAACTGAACAGGATGCTCAAAGATCGTCCCAGAATTATATTTTGAATTCTTTGTCCTTCCTATCTCTATAGTAATATGTTCTTCCTATACTCTGTGCTCTCCCTAGAAACCACTCTTTACATAGTGGCAGCTTAAACCCTCTCTTTGTCTCTTGGCCTTGGCACCTGGATATTCCTCTGAGATATCAAAGCATTCTTGATGTTCGAGCTGCCACATTTCAAATCTAAAACAGGGTTTTGGCCATTGGAACCCTTCTTGCAGATCTTTGAAACCTAGTTTTTGGGATAGTTTTAACTGGCAACTTAACACAGGTTAGAATCACCTGAAAAGAGTTTTGCTGAGGAATTGTCTAGATTATGTTGGCCTGTGGATGTCTGGGGATGTGGGCCAGTGCCTTATTAATTGATGTATGGCACCATTCTGCAGTGGTGGGTGTGGGTTGCAGGTTGTGGTAAATGAGTACAGAGCAAGAAAGGATGCATGTGTTGATTCTCTGCCTAATCTTGACCATGGATGTAATGCTTCAGGTTCTTGCCTTGACTGCCCCATGGTCCTGAACTGTAACCTAGAATTTTAGGTCAAATGAACCCTTCCTCCCCTAAGTTGTTTATTGTTGGGATATTTTGTCACAGCAACAGAAATGCAACTAGGGAAGACAGTGCATCCAGTTCTGATGAGACCTGATAGGCTAGGGTCAGATGGAAGGGGAGGAGGATCTCTCCTATCAGCGGACTCGGGGAGGGGCATGGCAAGAGAAGAGGATGGGATTGGGAGGGGATGAGGGAGAGGGCTACAGCTGGGATACAAAAATGAATAAATTGTAATTAATAAATTTATTAAAAAAGAAATGCAACTAGGACAGCTCTTTCCCATTTAGGTTGTGGTAAAAATGCTATATGTTTATAAATGGGTTCTCTGGTCAGGAAGTATAAAATAGCCTCACCACCACATTATGTATCACAGTGTACAATGTTTTCCTTAGAGAGGTTGCTTAAAATTACTTTGTTTTCCTATCTCATAAAAGATCAGGGATGTAGTTTTTTTCTTATTTATGCCTGGTATGTAGGGCTTGTTATTTTTAGAATGAATAAATGGAATATTAAAGGAACAGAAAGTTGCATATTTAGTGATGGAAGGAACAAGAGCTAGAAGAAAGGCCACTGTAAAGCCACTTGCAGTTTAACTAAAAGTTGATATTGAAAGAAGTTATAAGTAAGGAATAACCTTATAATTAAGCTCTTTTTTTTCCTCTAAATTTAAGGATCATCAATGGGAAGCAGTCACTGTTCCTGAAGAAAAAGTTCAAATGTACAACATTGAAGGTACTAAACTTGAAGTTCATTTTTTGTAATTCTGCTTTTGGTTCCTGACATAGGGAATAGAAACTGCAGCCTCTCTGAGATAAGATAGACTACTAAAAACAAAACATCTGTAGATGCATCTGTAAGTTCATCACATTCCCCACCCCACCCCAGTTTTCTTCATCTAGAAGCCACAATATTTGGTCTGACCAGTCTCACATCAGTGTTTTCTCGGTTCTTACATTTCTGTCCCATTTGTTTTATTAAATTCAAACACCTCATTCTTCCATTCCTGTAACAGGAGTTACATAGCACTGCTGGACAAAAGTATAAAATCTAACATACAGGTAAAAAGGCCATATTAAGTTAAGGCATATTTTAGTCATTTAAGTGGACATATATCTCACCATGGTTTTAATTTGCATTTTTTAATGAGCAGTGGTGAGTACATTTCATGCATGAGTTCTCTGTTGTCTGTGTGCTCTCCTCTGTAAAGCACGGAGTACTCACACAGGCTGGGTGAACACTTCTTTCTTCATCTTTTGCTGACCTGTCTTTTTAATTTTGCAGTTATTGTGTATCCTAGAATTCCAATCCTTTGATAGATAGATTTTTTGTGAACATATTCTTAATCTGTATTTTCTTATTTTTTTATTTTGGTGGGGAGCAAAGAAATGCCCTTATATATGAAGTCTAGTTGATTAGTTGATTTTTGTTTTGTTTTGTTTTGTTTTTCTCTGTATGGTTGTTGCTTTGCATGACCTAAGAAATCTTGTTCTATCCTTCATCACAAAGGTTTTCTGCTTTGGCTTTAGCTTTGTATGTTAATATGGTGAACAAAACAAATTAATTTGAGGAGTTGACAGAAATTGTAGGTGATTGTGTGAATTTATAGTGATTCTATGATTGTGGAAATGGCTTTATTTTCTCAGAGTTTCTTTGTTTCCGTAGTCATATGCTCTACCATTGAATATTACTCCTCTGTGGTTCCTCTGTTAAAGCCACCTGGCTCTGTAGGAGTGGTCTTGTCTCCTGCTGCTATAATGTATTCCTTTGACTTACTTACATGCTGTGTGCCAGTACCACAGTCTTCTTGGCATTTTGTGTTCATGGGTAACATAATTTATTTTCTGACATTTTGGGAGTTTTCAGAAACACAGCCTCTGGAATATTCATATACATTTTTAAAGATTTTATCAATCATTCCAGAAAACTTCCTGAAGTTACAGCTATAGATCATTATGATATAAAAATTTAGTTCATAGAGATACACTTCTTTATTTGGGTACTTGACTTCTTTAAACAACATGTTTTTCAATATGTCTTATAAATCTTTTAATGAATTTATTTCCAAATACTCACTTTTGCCATTTGTGATGATGAACATAATCTTCTTTTCAGATACTTTTCTACTGGTATATTAAAATAGTTTTTTTTTAATACTTTCCTTTTTTTCTGCGTTCTTGCCAAGTAATTTAATTCTGGTCATTGTGTAGACTTCTGAGGGTATTCAGTCAGTCAATCATGTTGTTTTTAAATAATGATAGCTTTGTTATTCTCTTTCTTTCTTCTTTTCCTCCCGCTTTCCTCAAAGCATTCTCCATGTTTGAGCCACCAGGTCTTTGTGCTTCCCCAGGAAGAACTTCACTGATAGAACCATCTCCCTAGCTGTTCAGCATTCCCAGTGGTAGCTATGTTAGTCTTTATAACTGTCATCAGGATTGTAGTTTTTTCTTATACTATTACATAATAATTCATAAAAATGTGACTTTTCAGCCAAGAATGGCTGTAAATTTCAGCTTTTCACACATTTATCTCTAAGTATCTTTTCACCTTTTTCTATTTTTAACCCTTTCTGTGCATGAAACAGGCATGTCTCTCCTGGTGTCTGGGTTTGTCATTCATGTATCCAGATATTTACTCCATCAATTCCTTTATTTTCCCAGTATCTCTTTACTTAGAATATAAATGAGATCACCAAAAGTCAGCTTAGGTCCATCCTATGGCTTCTTCTTGAAGGAATAGATATTACATTTTCTTTCCTTTCTCATTAATTTCTGTTCTTCTTACATCCTGTTCTACATTTCTAAAGTTTTTACTGACTAGGAATGTAACTCCTCTAAGTACTCTTTGTGTATGTATCCTTACATTGACTTCTCCACATTTGACACTGGTGAATGCAATTTATTTAAGTATATTTTTTAATTTCTTAGCTGAGCTCCAGATGTACAGAGAACACTACCATTCTCATATTCTTACGCTAGGGAGTGCCTCCTTTATTTCCTGACAAGTGGTGTATGATGAAAACTGCTTGGCTAACTCTTAAGTACAGAAGCTAATCTTTGTTTTAAAACTTGAAAATCTCTTCTTTGGGGAATATTATTGCGTGTTTAATAGTAGCAGGGTTTGTTTGGGGGCATATGTGAGAGCCATGGTGCACATGGAAGACAAGAGGACAGCTTTTGGGAGTTGGTTCTTGCTACTATGTGAGTATTGAGGCTTTCGAGTTTCAGAGTCATCAGCCTTTGGCAGCAAGCCATCATTATCAGCTGGTTTATCTTACAGGCCCTAAAAGTCATTCTTGGCTGTTTTCTCCCCACTAACTTACAGATTTCCTCCTTTTATTATACCTGTTACATATTTTGTATTTGTCCTCTCTCTTTGTTCCTTTGAGTACCATGACGTGGGGAGTAATGTGAAAACTAATATTTAGTTTTCTCTATGGCTTAAAAGTCATTTAAAATGATTTTGCAGATAAAGCATGTTACTATATTCATCAAGTAATAGCATCTTGATGTGTTATTAAAACCTAGTAGTATATTGATATATAAGCATCAAACCAAACAAGATTTTTAGTCTAATTTTAAAAAGTAAAATTATAATATACTCCAGGACATCAGAGCAAATGCCAGAAATCTCAACAAGATAATTGATAAAGTAAAACATACATCAATGTATTTTGTTCAACTATATAGATGATCAGAACTCATAATAGATGAATCTTTAAAGAATTATCCAAAGTTATAGTTCTAATGCTGTTGGTTTACAGTAGAAGAAAATACTTCATTTAATAGATACTCAGTAAACTACAGAAAAAATGCAGATCAAAAATATGAAACAATTATTAGTAAAGTCCCATAAAGATTATTAATGTATAGATATTTTTTATCAGAACACAAAATAATATCTTCCACAACCACATGAGTTTTTACCTCTGAAATGTGAAAATTTAAGATTGGGCTCACATGATTTGTTAAATTCTTAGTTGTATTATTGTAGTGAGAAACAGAATGGCAAACACTTTCATTAGTGACTGTTTCTTAGTACCACCATAGGCTATTACTATGGCAAATATCACATATGTATAAAAGGAAATAATTTTCTGTTTGGGCAAGCCTTGTAAGAGTTTAAAAATCTATTCTTCATAAAAATATTTGTCCCTAAGGGCAGTTTACAGTTGCTTGCCTCATTGTGGAGATAAAATTCCCTACTTTGTGTGGTCTGTTTTCCTTGAGCCCAAAAGTATAGTCTATGGGACAGGCTTGGAGGTTGCCTCAGCAGAGGTGGGAAGAGCACAGTGGCTCGTGGTGCTAGGATTTACTCTGTAATACAGGCAAGCTGATTAGTTACTAGGTGGTTTTCTATATATCTTTGGGGTATTGAGTATGAGCACCTCATATACACTGGAAATAGAGTATTTTTTTTATTGGATTGAAAGTTCCTTGAGGATAAGGACTGCATGCTTCTCCCTTATAAAACCCTGGAATTTTTATCAAAATGTTAATAAAACTCAATATGTTGATGTGTGTGTGTGTGTGTGTGTGTGTGTGTGTGTGTGTGTTTATAGCCAGAAATTACTAACTATGAATTCAAGTTATTTTGTTATTACTAAAGCAGCTTTTTCAGGTATGTTCATGGAATATTTTAAGAATTTTTTTTAGGACCTGGAAAGCATAGAAATCGCAATGACTAGGCCATTATTGTATAACAGAAATGAGGACAATGAAACCAAAATATAAGCTGACTGATTTGTTTTTATAGGTAGTAACAGAGCTGAGTAAGCAACACCCAGTTTTTTTTTAATTGAGTTTTGATTCAGTTTGCTGTATATCTTATTTCTAGTGTAAGTTACAAACTAGTATTGTGGAGATTAATATATTATCATTAATGTTGTTTTCTATATACAGTGAGAGACTCAAAGAAGCTACTGACTGTAACTCTGAAAAATATAGTGAAAATTAGTAAAAAAGAAGGGAAGGAATTACTTTTATATTTTGATGAATCTTTAGAAATCACCAGTGTAACTAAAAAAGTTTTTGGTGGACATAAGTACAAGGTAAGCTTTTAAAACTTCTTCAACAAATAGTATTATCATGGTTTTGCAAACTCAGTTTGGGGCTATAAGTTTAGTTGCTTTTTTTATTATCAAATTCCTAAAATGGCATGAATTTTAGCTCTTTAAAATTACACTGTGAAGAGCTGGCAAGATGGTTCAGTGGGTACAGGCAATTTGTCACCAATCCTGAAGACCAGAGTTTGATCCCCAGGATCCACCTTTGTTGGAAGGACAAAAGTGATGTCACAAGTTGTCTCAGACTGCTACATGTGGACTATGGAATATGTGCATGAACACACAACAAATAATGTAATTTTAAACTGTACTGTGGAGTACCTAGTGGCTCATTAGGTTGTATCCTTTGAGATGCCTTTATAAAATGAAAAAGTCAGGTGACAGAATTGGCTGGCATAGCTACTTAGGTCATTTGATGAGTTACTGCCATGTATTTTTAAAGATTGAAATAAAACAATTTGAAAATATTAAATATTTTGAGAATTATAGAAATGATAGAAGTAAACAGTTGGCCTAGGAGAAAAAAATTACATAAACTGGAGACTATTCATTAAGAGTTATAGTGCAAAGCATGATTATGGAGGTGAGGCTTAAAATAACCTCTGGAGGGACTAGTATTAATGGAAGGCTATACCAACCAAGTACTGTTTAACTGAGACTATACGTGACAATTTATGGAACATTTTAGGGGAATTACTGTCTTAACAAGTTTGGATAATGTAAAAGCTTTATATCAGGCCTGGCTTAGTGGTATGCACCTTTAATATCAGCATTCATTCAGAAGGCAGAGAACAGGTGGATCTCTAAGTTTAAGGCAAGTCCAGGCTACATAGCAAGACCCTGTCTCAAAAATATGTCAAAGATATCACATACTCATTTGCTTATATAGACAGAAAAACGAAAAACTTGAGAGTGGATAGTACTAAGTAATTGAAGTATTCTTAAGTTAGACTCTGTATGCATTTCATATTATGTATGTTTTGGGGATAAATGACAGTTGTAGAAGAAAATGGGTAGGAAGCAAATGCATTAAATAGAAAGAATATGGTATCATTTTGAATTAATTGAATTTTAGGAATTTACCAGAAAACAAGGTATTTCAGTTGCCAAAACATCTATTCATATACTTTTTGATGCAAGTGGATCACAGGTATGTTTCTGACTTACTTGATTTTTATTCAAACTAAATAACAGTATGGTGGTAAAGCTAATTTTAGAGGGTGATTATGTGAAAGCAAATGGTCTCAACAGAAATGGTTCTGTAATAAAGTATTTTAGTTAATGATAATTTCATTGTAGAAGTAAAGAATTACTGAAAATTACAATTTGAGTAATTTTTAAAATGAGAATGGCAGAATTTGTTTGCAAAATTTGCTGTTTTGTTGAATCATTTTGTGAAACTTAGAAAATGCCTAGTAAGCAAAGATAGTGTAAATATAAGAGGAGCAGAAACTTTGCAAAAAAAAAAAAAAAAAAAAGTGGCTTTTGAGAAATCTTTTTTTTTTTAGTTTTTTTAAGTAGAATTTTCTACATTCTAAATCCAATAGATTCTAGTGCCAGAAAGTCAACCATCTTCAGTTAAAGAAGACCTTGCTTATCTAAAAGAGAAATCTAACCACCAAAAGAGACTTACAAATTCTCTAAAACAGGACAACAGCAGCAGCCAGAGTGACAGGAAAAGCAGTCAGGATGAGGTAAATATGAGTGATTTACTCTGTTAAACTACCTCTCTGCTGAAGAAAACAGCTAAAGCATCTAGAATTGTTACAGTATTTCCTTGACCAGTAGAGCATTTCAGTTTTTCTTCCATCTTTTACAGATGCAAAGAAAAGCAAGTATTTTAGCAAGTCATATTTATTATGCTGTGCACCTATAAATTCAAATTAGAGATACCTAATATTAGCTACTTTTTTCATTTGTGCTTTTTTCTATCATATCTTTATTTTGGCTCTAACATAAAATGCAGCTTAAAATGTCATAGGTTTTGAGGTTCTTTCTTCTTCATACATTGAGTCACATTATTTATGTGGTACTTTTTGAAACTTATGGCCCTTATATCTCTGGTTCTACTTAAAAGTTTTGTTACTTTTAGGAATGACTTTGGGGTGATGTGGGGTAAACCAAACCTTTTATTAGAATCAGTGGCTCGAAATTCCTATAATTATTTTACTTTAAATGACAACAAATGAGGGAAAATGTTAAATGCCTATACATACACATGTCATCTTCATGAAATACTGGAAACCACGAGTCATTGGTTAGCTAAATATTTTTAAAATATTTTCAGCTAGTATATAAAGGCACTATGTTGTATAAGACCATGGTGATTTATAAATATTTCAAACAGCATTTTGTCTATTTGCTCATTACCAGCCATGAAGATGAAACCATTTAAGTTAGCCTCAAACAGAGGAATTTGTGGGATATTGTATTTATCTACTTAACCTTTTGCATGTAGTCAAGGCAAAATATTGTGAATAAAATTGTAGGTTATTTAATGCTTAAACAGAGTGTATATTTATTGTGGCTGTTTCTCATGGTTTAAGATCACTACACCTAGCAGAAAGAAAATGTCTGAAGCATCAATGATTGTTTCCAGTACAGACAGATACACTGTGCGAAGTCCAATACTCTTAATTAACACATGTAAGTGTTATATTGTTTACAAGATTTACAGCAAGTATTTTAACAGAGGAATCTTTAATTCTGGGAAATTCTAGATACAATTTTTTAAAATAAGAATTACAGAATCTTCTAACTAGAAGAAAGGTATTGACTTAAATATTTTAAAAAATATTAATATTCTGTTTTAGTAATTATCATAATGTAAGCAGGTGGTATCATAACATAGTGATTAGAAACAGTATTGGGATCATTAGGCTTCTTGGATTTAGTTCTTTACTACCAGATTTGTATTTGACACACAGTATTCTCTGACTAAATTCAGAATCAGTTTATTTTCCAACCCATGGAACCAAAATACCTTCTTAGTGTTTTTTAAAGGATTACATAAAAATCATTCATTCGACAGATAATGATGTGAAATACTGATATAGTACCTGGCACATGCTAGTACTAGTTGCTAGTACGAGTAATGACCTTCCAGTTTAAAAAATCCAATTGCCTGCTGGGTAACAGCCCTGTGCACGACAGACTTCTCAAATTAGTAGTTTCAGATTTGAATCATTCTATGTATTCTTCCTGATGACTATTTTCTCCTCTTGTTAAATGCCGTAGTGTACACTTACTCATTTAAGTCAGAAACCTGGGAACTGTCCTGAGAACTTCCATCTCCAAACTTCCTCATCTAAAAGTACCTCTGAACAACAGGGAAAATAGCTGCTGTCTTTGTTCTTTTAGCAACACCGCAAAAATGTAGGACACCACTGCAAGCAGTAAATTCTGCTGAAAAAGCTGTTTCTAAAATATCAGAAAGTGGAATGGATTATGCAGTGTCACTCAAGTCTATACAATCTGATGGAAGAAATAGATGGAATACTAGAGCCAAAGTAAGGAGATTTTATGTTAAAATAAATTTTAACAAGTTATTTTAGAAATCCGCTGCATAATTAGAATACTGAGCTGCCTTCTTTTCCAAATACTATTTCTATTTATTTAGAAAATGATGGTTTTTTCTAAACAGCAGTTATCCTTGAAAAGGTCCTTCTGGCACATGACCAGTACACTGTACTTACATTAAAACTCTGAAGTATCTATTATACTGTGCCTGAAATGTACACATTGCTAGGAGAAAGGAGCTTTCTATTATTCTTTACTATACAAACCTGTGTCTGCTGTGAAAAGATTAGTACAGAAATGTGAGATCACTGTGGAATGTGTCTTTAAGTATCTCTAGCAAGATTAGAAAGATTAATAAGATTGATATACTCTTAGAGTACAAGCATCTTCAGATACACACATAGGGTGCAGTAAGTACCTAATGAATTAATAAGCCTAACCCCCAAAATGAAAGCTAATTTGAATAGGCAGAAAGATAAGTGGCATAAGAGTTGAATACATTACAAAATGTAGCCAGATTAGCCGTTCACCTTATCTACTTAAGTGTTTAATAAAATCAATATTTTTCTGATTTTGTGGCATGGTCCTCAGTATTGTATAATGACTAGTATCCCAGAGAGGACAGTTAAGGTCAGATAAAATATCTATAGCTAGGTAATAGACTTTGCTGGTAGTGATGGCAGATTTTTTTTTAATCTGGCATTAGGATGAATCTATGGCTGTAGAAAGAAAGATTCAAGAAAAAATTACCTGGGAAATAGCCAAAATTTTTAAATTATTTAATACTTCATAAACTTCAACTTTTTTAACTTTCATAAAAGAGAATAGGGTATGACATCAGCAGCAACAGGAGACATGTATGTGGAGATTCTAGAAATCACCATACCCTTAAGTGTATTGGCTCCGAGATGAGATTAGAAAACTTGTAGAATCTTCTGCCTGCCTCCTTGTCTGCTGTGAAAGTTATGTTCTTGAGTTTTAAGGTAGGCAATGATCTAAAAATATGTGTAACTTTTATGAAATACATATACCATCTAATTTTCATACTAAAGCAAACTTACATTTTCAGACCTTAATGGTTTGAAATTAAATTTATGTAATTCTTTAATTTATGTTTATATATGTTTTCTCTTTTTGATAGCATAATAAAACTACTAAAACTGTAGAAAACAAAGAAAATGAGAACAGTGAAGCCCCAGACCAAAATTTCAGTAAGTGCTTTTGTGGATTAATTACAGTCATTGTGAATACACCTGCAAAAGTATGTATGTGTACACATATACAAACATTTAAGTGTGTGCCTGGGTTGCATGTGTGTCTGCATGCTTATGTGTATCTGCAAGTGGGTGGGAGAGAAGAGATCAACTGATCACTTTCTAGTATTTTTAACCCCAGTGTCTTTCATTAATTGAAAGTAGTAAGTTCTTAATAACTGTGCTGACATAATATAAAGAAATATTGATTTGATGAGCCTATTTTAGACCACATAACCTCTGCTTCCAGGAAATTTGTGTCTGAGAGGAAGGGCACAGGGCCAATGTTATCATCCCCAATTGTCCACTTTTATAGGAATATACTCTCACTTCAGTCTTCTAACTGTATGAAAAAGTAAACATGCGATGGTTTTGTTTTGTTTAGATGAAGTTGAGGACACTCTTTCTGATGCATTTACAGCGGGAAAAGTAGATAAGCCTGTGTGAGTATGACAGAAGCCATCACAACACTTATCATGTATTCATATTATTTTAGGTGAATAAAATTATATTTAACAGAATTGAAAGAAAGGCCTTTATATAATTAAAATGCAATTTCAAACATAGCTTTAATACAGGTGATGGTTATGATGGACAATAAAGAATGGGTTGTTTTTCTTTCCATATGAAGCAATCATTAGATCTTTAAAATGCTAGAGTAGACCACTACGGATGATGTCAGTAGTAGACCACCAAGGTAGATTTACCTTGGTTTAAATTTAGAGTAAGGTAGGATATGCAAAGATGTACTTCAGGTATATAGCAGTGTGATAACAATAATGGTACTTTTCTAGTATTTTTAACCTGATGAATCTTATAATGCTCACATGCTGTATGAAAGCTTTTCCACACTTAACTACTATTACGTTCTCAAAAAACATTGAATATTATATAAAAACATCATGTCATGTACTAATGTTCGATAATATATTGAATAAGTAACTTTTTTTCTAGATTACCTGGAATTTCAGACATGTCGAAAAATAAACCACATTCCAAATGGGCATGTTGGACACCTGTAACTACTATCAAACTCTGCAATAACCAGAGAGCCGGTGCATTACCAGAAGACACTTTTACCGGAGGTGAAGATAATATTTCCTGTTAATGCAATAGTGTTCAGGAAACACACTTTTCCTAAGTATCTAACAAGTAATTTTGTTTATAACAAAATTTAAGTGTTAGCAATATATTCATTCTCATTTTTCCACTAGATACTGGTATCAACAATAAATGCAATAAACAAAAATCAGCATCTGATGATGAATCTGAAGAAACACAAAGGATAAAATGCAGTAAAAATGTAATCAAGTGTAACAAGTCAGATCAAGCAGAAGTTTGTGAAAGAAATATTCAGGAAGAAAATCATCCTAAATATTCACAAAAGAAAAATACTGAAAATGTAAACCAGAATGATTGGCATATTGAATCTGAAACTACTTATAAATCAGTACTTCTGAATAAGACAACTGAAGAATCACTCATCTATAAGAAGACGTGTGTATTGTCAAAAGATGTGAATACTACTATCTGTGATAAAAGCATGAGGAGTCAGACAAAATCAAGGAAAGAGCTGATGTCTGAACTTAATTCATGTGAGCTAAAAGAAATACCAATGGTGAGTATTGAATGTATTGAATTCTTACACAGAGGCTTGATTGATTGCTATAGAGTTGACATGGATAAATGTTTATTTTTTTTTCTTTAGTTGAGTTCATAGATGCCTCCTTAAGCTTCCCTTTCTCCTCCCTAACACAGCTCCATATAACCAGGCATTTCAGTATATATGAACTGTTCTGGTCTTTATAATATTTCTTTTCCATGAGTAGCTATTGCATGTACTGTCACTTTGTAAGTAAGACCTATAATTATCCTAGTTGGCCTTCTATTGCTTTGATTTACACCATGACCAAAAGGAACTTGAGGAAGAAAGAGTTTGTTTCAGTTTACAGATTGCAGTGCAGGGAAGTCAGCTTGTTTTCCATAGCTCACTCAGTCTGCTTTCTTACATAGACCTAGGACCACCTGCCCAGGGCTGACATCATCCGTAGTGGTCTAATCCCCTTTATGTCAGTCATTAATCAAGAAATTGCCCATACAGGCAGTCTGATGGAGGCAACCCCATCAATTAAGATTCCTTCTTGCCTGTTAACTGTATCTTTTTCAAGTTGATAACTAACCAGCACAAATGGTAAAAAAAATAATAATAATAAGTTGTGTTATTTTTGGCATTGGCTTCCTCTTTATGTAGAAGAATGGCTAAGGCTGTTTCATAGAACTTGGCATATGGTAGACATTTTTTTTTCCTGGAGTACAGAAACCTGACTGAGCATCTGTTAGGGTTTATATGTACTGTAGGGACCTCAAAGGCTGTGTCTTGAAGGCTTGGTCCCAGCTAGGGAATCCAGCCTTTGAGAGTTGATTAGCTCATGAAGATAGCAACTTCACCAATGGATTATTAGGCCATTAATGGTGTCCATACTGAATGGACTATTAGAGGGCTTGGTTGGTGGGAGCAGATCACCGGAGGCATGTTTTTGAAGAGTATATTTTATCCTGGCCTCTTCCTTCTGTTTGTCTGGCATGCTCTGTAGTTGCTACAAAATAAAAGTATACATCTCTGCCTCACTGTAGTCACCATAATTTTCAACTTAACCTCATGACTAAAGTGACAAGGACAAGACACTCTGGACTACAATCTCTGAAATCATGAGGAGAAAAGCCCCATAACTTTATCCTTTTAAGTTCTCTCAAGTGTTTATCATAATGTTAAAAACCCAGCATTGCAACCTTTTCTAAGTTATGTTTCTTTAAATGCAACTTACTATTATTTTTCCCTAATAGTGCTATTTCCTGTATCATTACACAACATTTCCTGTCCTTTCTGTGGCTGATCAGTTTCCTATAGTCATCTGACTTTATAGATAAGCACAGAACAATAGCACCTCTATAGCTCAAATACCAAAGGAAAAGATTTGGTTTTGCTTCATAGTTTGAAAGATTCCATCTGTGGCCTCTGGCAGGGAGCTCATGGCAGAAAAAGCTGCTCACCATATAGTGACAAGAAATAGAAAAAAGGGGAGGGCAAGGAGGTTCCGAAGGGCCTTGAGGATAATTTATACTCATCAAAGCCTTATCCTTGGGTAATTATTTTTTCCATAATGGCATCTCTTACATCCTAACCCATTCAACTGTGAATTTATCAGTAAAGCAACTCATTGATGAGATTGCACTGTCGGATCCATTGATGTCTCTCAGTAGTTCCCCTAGCTGGGGCAAAGATTTCAAAACATGAGCCTTTCAGTGTAGAGCAGGTGGGCCTTGCAACACAGGGAGGGGTAGGAGGGAGCTGGCCCAGAGCAAGAGTAAGTTTGAAACCTGTCCAAACTTGGAAAAATCTCATCTTGAGACCTACAGGAGTAGGCCAGCTTCCTCTGTGCTCTGCGCCTGCTTGTCCTGGTGATGTATTCTTACAACCTTTACCTCTGCTACCTTTAAGGCAGTCACATAGCCTGGTGACAAGGTTTCAGGTTAAACTTCCTCTCTCCTTATAAGGACATGTTCAGCAAGCACTGGAATTCCTCTTCATGCAAATTAAACATTCCATGCACCTTGGCTGCAGCCAGTGATGTACCCTCACCCTGACAACTCATACCCACCTCCCAAGCTTTCTATGGTCCTGCAATAAAGAGAGCTGTTTGACTGAAAACTGTCTTCAAAAGGCTGTTTCTCCCACATTCAAGATGACTGAGATCCTGCCTGCACCCACACTCCCCAGCTAAAGATCCCTTCATCCAGTCCAGCCTAATGTGCTATGTGCCTGGATGCACCAAGGGGAAAAGCAGAGCTAGGACACCATCTCTCTATTGTTTTCTTTTAATCTTCCTGATATAACCAGCTGCTTCCAAAGATTACTTGGTGTAATTATGATGTGTAATTACATCAATTGTTTTCAAATTGATGTAAAATTAGGTTCATTTCTTTCAGTTGTCTTCAGTTTGGGGGTTCTGGTTTACTTTTTCCAGAGACAGTTTCCAATGAAACAGTTCTCTATATTGGGGGAAACAAGGGCTATATGAACCTTGGGGAGTTGTGTGTGCTGGGACATGCAGTCTCAGAACAGGGATGGAACAGTTCTACTCCTACCAATCTCAACAAGATTTTCAGGGTTTGGGCAAGTCTCAGCCTCACTCTTACTTCTAGGCTGGCTCCCCCCAGTCACATGGCTCACCTGCTTCACATTTCAGGAGGACAATTCATTTGCACACTATAGTGTGTGTGTGTGTGTGTGTGTGTGTGTGTGTGTGTGTGTGTGTGTTTTATCTAGGTATGTAAATCCCCTTCTATTCTTAGTTTGCTGAGTTAGTATTTTATCAGTTTATCAGTTGTGCATCTGTTGGTTTGTTGGTAGGACTTTCTCCCTCAAGCTATCTGGTTAGAGATGACAGACATTGAGTTTTAATGTTGACACAGCCTTGCATACCAGGAGTAAGTACTACTTGTTTCTGAGGTGCAATTCTTTTCATTTATTAGATTTGATTTGTTATCTGTGTTCATGAGAGCTACTGGTTAGTTTTCTTATTTTATGATATTTTTGTTTGTGCCTTCTAGGGTATAATACAGAGAACCTGATATAATTTCTTCATTAATTGAACTCACTAGTAAACCCACCTGGAGGTGGTGCCTTTTGTAATGGAAAATTAAACACTGATTGAATCCATAAATACATTAAGATTAGTATTTAATTTAGACATTTCTAGGTAACCCCATTATATTTTGGGTTCATGGGAAGTTTAATCCAACTTGCCTATATTTATGGTATATACCAGGATTCGTGGTGAGAGCTTACCTAAGGTCACAAATCTGCCTCAAGCCTGTCTCCTAGTGAGGCATTTTAGAAGTTCTAAAACAACTTAACTTAAAAATTGTTTGACTCAAATCAGAAATTCCATAATCAGGAATTACTTCATCTGAACAGCAGTACATCTTCAATAAGATTCCATAGGAAGTTTGTTCAATCAAGGTGGACAAATACCCAGAAAGTGACAGTTCACACAATGCCAGATTTTAGAGAGATCCATTTCTGGGGTGTATCACAGTATAGACCTTACAAAATACCAGATCACCTCCTAAAACGTCCACATGCCTAATTAGCTCCTTTAACAGAATGGCTCTCGACAGAATGATGGCCTCTTCATTACTGGCATTAGCAATTTATATTTTTGTTTGTTTGTTTTATTCCTAAGTTAACTTTGCTGGAAGGTTGCCAGTTTTAATGATTTTTTTTTAAGAACTGTCTTTTTTCCTCGGAAGTACTTTAAATACCTGTATAAAAGCTAAAAAAAAAAAAAAAAAAAAAATGTACCAAGCACTTAGCATGTCTCTTTATGTGGAATGGTTTTGATTGCTGCATATAGTCCAGACTTACTAATTTCTGACTTTTTTCTTTAGATCGCCATAGAAGCAGATTTTCTAAACTTTCTCTTCAACTTTTTTCTTTTCTCTTGAAAGTTATGAAAGTTAACTGATAGTTTTAAAGTAACTTATAATTGTTTCAGAGAGAAAATTCAGAAGAGAAAGGACTTACTGGTGCAGCAGAATCCTTGATAAGCCAAATTAGTAAGAGGTACAACCCAAGTGATAGCATGATATCAACAAGAAAAATAAAGGAGCCCCGGAATGGCAGGTAGAGTCAGAAATTGAAATATGAGCATTTTTAACAAATACAACTAAATTGGCTGGCATAGTATGGGAAAGGCTTTAGGGACACATTTGAATAATACAACTTCTAGTACAAAATAATTACTAATTTCTTTTATTACTACTAGTGGCTATTTAAATTATATGATATAAAACATTCTAGAATGTGGTTATACTATATAAAGTACCAAAGAGTAAAGCAATACAGTGTGGCATTCAAAGAGAAATCTGTAAGATGTAAATATCTTAATATTTTATTTATACACCTAGTAATGACCAAAGCTAGATGTGCTAAAAAATGCTTTGTTATTGAAATGCAAGGTGTCAGTGAGCTAAAATGTGTATTAACTAATATTTCTTGTTTGCAATATTTTTGAAAGATGATTCTTATCATAAACATCCATTTATAGACTGTGAGAGTGTTCATTCACATTAAAATTCACTCTGGCCATATAGAGTAAGAAAAAAGTACTTTCCTGGATTAACTATACCTTTTACAGTATTTAGCACTTGCTCCTATATTATTGATGCCACTTAGATTTTTAACTGTGATAGTCACAATTTATTGTGAGATTGTAAAACTATCAGACTGACATATTTTATTTTGGGTTTGTGTTGGTGCCCATTTTTTAGCATAGTTAATAGTATATAGGATAGTGTTTCTGAAAAATATTTTACTGATATTAAGTTGTTCTGTAAATTTGTCACTTATCTTTGTTGTAGTGGGTTTTCAAAGAAACCTGACTTGGAGTTCAATGAGGTGGGTGCTGCTTAACTTCACCAGTCTCTATATAGTCAGACTCATTATTTGATTGTAAGCACTAAAATACTAAGTAAAAAAAATGGAATTGGATTTAAGGTTATAGAATACTGCTAAATGGATTATAACAATTGACAAATTTAGTCACAAGTTACTTAAATAACTCTAGCTTTCTTTTTTTTTTAATAAAAATAAAAAACCCACATGGTACACTACCATAATTCCAGTTGCTCAGAAAGCTAAGGCAGATATTTACAAGTTCATGGTCTTTCTAGGTAACTTTCATTAAGATCCTTTCTTAAAAAAAAGATAACTAAGGATAATATTACCTCAGTGGTGTCTGGTACTTTGCCTATTAATCATACCTGAGGTACTAGGTGCAACCCCCATACCATGAAGATTGTTTCAAACAGAGATACAGTATTTTCACTTTTGGGTCAATGATTTAGTATGAAATCAGTCTATTATAATCTCTTCTCTATGTTTTTTGTTCTGTTTTCCTAGCTGATTCCATCTGTCCTGACAATCTTGATTTTGTTAAAATATGTGTTGTTTACTAGGTTTAAAATACAGATCCTCTGTGATTTACCATTTATATTTTTTGCATGTTCACTTAATTTGTCTAATATCAAGGGTCCACTCTGATTCTTAGCTTGTTGTTATACTAGTCTCTACGTGTTGTTTTTTTTTCCTTATAGCATATTTGTGCCAAATCCTTCATTATATTTAAATAATAGCTTATTTATTTTTCAAAATTCACAACTTTAACTGTGTCCTCTTCTTGTTCAGAAGCCTGCTTTGATCACTGCTGCTTGCTGGTTGTTGAAATAAGAGGAGATATAGAATGGTTTCTAATTTAAAAAAAACTGTCTTTGCATGATAGTGGTTTTATGAAGAGATGTTTTTGCTCAGTTGATTCATTTTCACTAAGAAAAATGTTACAGATGCTAGATTTATTAGTAAAAGCACAACTAGAAGATCTGTCACAGTTTAATTGCACTTATGACTTGTCTGATGCAGATAGCAATCTCATGTTTAAATGTTTTTATGTAAACCTATTTCTTATTTTGGAAAAGGTTCAGAAAAAGAGTTACAGAAAACTGAAGACAACTTTTGTTAATGTTACTTCTGAATGTCCACCACTGTGAGTAAATCTTCGTAAGTGCTTGTTATTTAAAGAGACTGAATCTTGTTCTTATGCAGTGGCACTGACATTACCTTTGTTTTTCACAGGAATGATGTATATAATTTCAGCTTGAATGGTGCCGAAGAACCTGTTATAAAACTTGGAGTAAGCTAGAAATCCACTGATTTTGTGCTTAGTTCTTCTGTAATCACCTTGAAGCTATCTGCAGTTATGGGCTTATGTTTGAGATGCATTCTGAGATAGACATACTTTACAGTGTTTAAAAATATAAAATGGTTTGTTTGGATAGCAAGCATAGGTATATCTACGCAGGGTTTTTTCCTATTCTTAAAAAAATATATGGAAAATGAGTTAACTGAGGCTTAGCAGTACATTAGACTTGATCTTTAAAAAATTATGATCCTATCAGTGGACTTGGGGAGTGGCATGCATGCAGAAAGGGGAGGGAGGGTGGGATCAGGAGGGGAGGAGGGAGGGGCTTATGGGGGGATACAAAATGAATAAAGTGTAATTAATAAATTAAAAAAATTATGATCCATTTGAATATATTAATAAGAAACTCTCTAACTCCAATAATGTGTTGGTGTCCCATTAGGGAAAGAAACCATTGCTATTTAACTAAGAGCAAACCTCATTTGAATTCTTTGTGGTGTTTTTTTTTCCTCCCTCTGTCTTCCGTCTTCCTCTGCCAGTTGTATGAGTCTGAATCCTTACCTGCTTGAATGGCTTTGTGTCTATCTTTCTGTATGTCTATGTGTCTGTAACAAAAGGTTTTTGTCTGTGTTTATTGATCAACACAGGAAGTGTCACATGGGGAAGGATAGGGATACTTTACAGAAATCTGTAACAGAGTTTGACAAGGAATTAAGTCACTAATTCCAACTGACCCCCAAAACATAATTTTTTATCATGAAATAGCCAAATGTTATGTTCAGTGTTTATGTTGGATATTTATTTTTTAAGATTGCTTTCAACCTCTGTGTTGCTATCTTCAGCAAATGATTATTAGAATGCTCCTGCATTTATTCTGAGTCAGGAGCATGGAAGAGTATGTAATTTAAGATTACAGATACACGTTAGCCTAGGTTATAAAAGTTTTTTACATTGGAAATCTAAGCCAAGTAAGGTTGGTTGTTAGGTTGTTTTCTTAAAAGCAGGTAAAACAAGCAGATTGAATAAACTGTAGGCTAGCAGTCTTAAGTGACCTCACATGTGTTATTAAACTATTCAGTAAGGTCCAGGAAAACTTACAGTCTCTGAGAATATAAGAGATTTTTTTCTTTTTTAATATAATTTTTTTATTTATTACAATATATTTACTTTTTGTTCCAGCAGTAGTCCCAACCCTATTCCCCTCTCAATCCTGCCCTCCCTCCCTCATCTCCTCCCATGCCCCTTCCCCAATCCACTGATAGGGGAGGTCCTCCTTCCCTTCCATCTGACCCTAGCCTATCAGGTCTCATCAGAACTGTCTTTCATAGTCTTCCTCTGTGGCCTGGTAAGGGTGCCCTCCTCAAGGGGAAGTGCTCAAAGAGCCAGCCACTGAGTTCATGTCAGAGACAACCCCTGTTCCCCTTACTAGGAAACCCATTTGGAGACTGAGCTGCTACGGGCTACATCTGTGCAGGGGTTTTATGTTATCTCCATGAGTGGTCCTTGATTGGAGTATCAGTCTCAGGAAAGATCCCTGGGTCCAGATTTTTTTTTTTTTTTTTTTGGTTCTGTTGCTCTCCTTGTGGAGCTCCAGACCCTTCCAGGTCTTTCTATCTCCCTTTCTTTCATAAGATTCCCTGCACTCTGCCCAAAGTTTGGCTATGAGTCTCAGCATCAGCTTTAATACCCTGTTGGGTAGAGTCTTTCAGGGGCCCTCTGTGGTAGGCTCCTGTTTTGTTTCTTGTTTTTACCTTCTTCTGATGTATATCCCATTTTGCCTTTCTGAATGAGGATTAAGCACCTTACCCATGGTCCTCCTTCTTGCTTAGCTTCTTTAGGTGTACAGATTTTAGTATGATTATCCTATGTTATATGTCTAATATCCACTTAAGTGAGTATATACCATGTGTGTCTTTCTGCTTCTGAGACACCTCACTCAGGATTATCTTTACTAGTTTCTACCATTTTCCTGAAAATTTCAGAATTTCCTTGTTTTTAATTGCTGCGTAGTATTCCATTGTGTAAATGTTCCACAATTTCTGTATCCATTCTTCAGTTGAGGGTTGTTTCCAGATTCTGGCTATTATGAATAAAGCTACTAAGAACATGTTTGAGCAAATTTCCTTGTTGTATATTTGAGCATATTTCAGATATGTGCCTAGAAGTGGTATAGCTGAATCTTGAGGTAGTTTTACCATGATGCATTGTCACAATAAAAACACTGGTCCTTATCGTAATGAGTACACTCTGACTTGTTTTGCTCTCAGTACTTTTACTATATTTGGTTTAGCTTTAAACAACAAATACTAGACAAAGCTGACTTTAATGATTAATTCTTATTCTCTGAAGTAAAACTAGATTTTGATACATTCATTTTTTTTTCTTTTCATTTTCTTAATTTTTGACATAAGTCTTTTTTCTTTATATTTGTTTATTTTCCATTTAGATACAAGAATTTCAAGCTACAACCAGAGAAGCCAGTATGGATAATTCAGTAAAATTGTAGGTATTTTTTAATAACTATAATTCAATAGATCACATCAGTTTAGCTCAATTTACTTTCCTTTAAATAAGTCTCCCCTAATCCTAGTTTTTATGTATAAAAGAAGTGGATTAAAATCTTACTGTCATGATTACGCTAGCTGGGATTGTTACTTCAGCATTTATTTATAAATTCAATATATAAAAGGTTGGTAATTTGAACATTATGACTTTAATCAGAGAGTTGAAAAATTAGTTCTTTATTCAAATTCATTTTTTTAACAACTGAGGTCAAGAAATGACAATCTGGCTACAATTGCAGAGCCAATGCTACAGCTACTGAAAGTGTTAAATCTGAAAACTTAGACGTAATCTCCCTGTGTACTCTGTCAGAAGAAAACAAATGTGATACATGTTTAAAATTAATGTGTATTTTTGTTCCTCAAGGGTAGGTGTAAGGAATCATGATGAGCATGACCTGTCTCTCAAAACAAAAGATAAAAAAGTAAGTTATAACATGTAATATGCCAGTTAAAACCAGTATTTCTTGTGCTAGAGAGGGAGCTCAGCTCCTTGATTAAGAGTGCTTGGTACTCTTCAGAAGATCTGCATTTGGTTCCTAGCACCCACATTGGGCAGCTCACAAACCATCTATAACTTCAGTTCTGTGGAATGATAGCCTTATCTGGACTCTGCAGATAACCTACATACATGTGACTTAACACACATAGACACATACACGCATCACAGATTTTTAAAAAATACATTTTTAAGAGCATTTCTTTAAAGAATATTTTAATACTGGAAATTATTGGACTATAAAATAAAACACCTGCTGGTGTTTAAAAATAACTTTCAGGGGCTGAAGGGGGATGGCTCAGAAGTTGAGTGTGTACTGGCTGCTCTTTCAGAGGACCTAAGTTCACTTCTCAGCATCTACATGGCAGCTTACAGCCAGGTATAATTCCAGTTTCACTTACATATGTGCAAGCAAAACAGTTCACATTCAGATGTGCAATTTTGTTAGTATATTTTGGCTCATAAATGGGGTATTTCATCTGAAGTGGGTAGAATAACATTACATGTACATGGAATAATGCAGAGAGCTTTGCTTTACAGTCCAGGGAACATAGCTAATTCTAGAGATATCCATATGAAAGGTTGTAAACTGAAATATGGGTAGCTCTGTCAAACTGTCTTGGGCTAAGGATCTTTATTGTCTATTATTTCAGGGAATACAAAATAAAAAACTAAAACCAGGAATAATGCATATAATGATTATAGAGATTTAAAAAAAAATCCTACCTGTGCAGTATTGTTGGAATTAAGACTATCTATGAGGGAAGACTATACCTAAAAGCTTACCTTTCCTAGTTCACTGTCAAAGAAGTTGTCAGTGACTTTTGAGAAACAATCTTCAGTTTTCATGAACATAAAATCATAATATGAGTTGTTGATGACAACTCTTCACATGGCTTTGATTTTGGTATTGGATGCCCTTATGGAGGTAATTTTGAGAGGTTAACAAATGGATGGGCATACACATGAGTAGAAATGACACTGAAATATAGAATAGAATAGTATGGTGGCATTTAGGTTATCATAGCAGTTTCCATTCTAGAAGAAGCTCAAGGAAGGCATGGCAAAAACAAAAACAACATACCCAGTAAACTGGAGGAAAGGAAGCAAAGGAGAGTGTAAATTTGAGGCTAGAGGTTTTCCATCTTTAAATCCTGAAGATCAGCAAGAATTTAAAATTTATGCTTATTTGTAGATGTTTGAGAATATTTTACAAGTCCTGAATCTAGAGCACAGAGCGTACTGGTCATTAAAAAAAAAAAAATAACATGGAAAGGTTTCAGTCTAGATTCTCGGTAGCAGGAAACTTCTGGTCATAGTCAATCAAGATTGAGCCTAGTCCAAGTGTTAATAAAGGCTTAGTCTTCAAACCCACTGCTCTACCTACAAATTCTATATAGTAGAAAAGCCAAACTAAAGAAAGTCAGACTTCTTGTCCTAAATTTGCATATGGTATTGACAAATGCTTTCAAAATCAACTGCCAAGAACATTTCTTAGCACATCAGCAAATACAGTGAAAGAATGCAGTCATTCAAATTTGTCTTCATTTGTTGATGTGTAACCAAACTAGTGTGAACACACTTGTTAAAAGTGGATGTGGAAGCACTTAAAAGGGACAAAATAGAAGAGGAACCTGAAGATGAAAGCCATGCTGGCCCAAAGAAAGGTGACTTAATGTGATTTGCATAACAAGAAAGGTACAAAGAGAAATAGATAAAATGAAGTTACCAAGAGAGCAGCAATGTCTTGATGATTTTCTAACAGAGCACTCAGTCTTCTACTTTCCCACAAATTGATATTATTTATAGTTCTCTTGATGCAGAACACAGATTATTAAGTATATGATGGACATACAGTGAAACCTGTGCTTCTTTAATGGAAATAAAATGAAGGAATTCCAAGGTAGTGAACAATTACCCAAAAGTGGTTTACACTATTTTAGAGAATGGTCTGATTTGTGCCTTCGAGTTTAGGACCTGGGAAAATGGCACTTTGAAAATCATGATTGAGAATGCTAATATAGAAAATCCTATGATGACTGGAGGCTTTCTGAGAGTTTTAGAAATTTTCATATGATACGGTTTTGTTTTGTTTTTTCATGCAGTTTAGTGTGAGCATAAATTAATTGGGGCAAGACTTCAAGATGAAGAAAACCAAGACTGCTATGTTGGGCTGTGCTGAGCTTTCTCTCTATATAAATGAATATTTGGAAATGAGGACTTAAGTTAATTCAACATTGACTTTGTTGAGTGCAGCATTTGTCTGACTACATGGACAATATGACAAAATTCTGATAGTCATGGAATACTTAAAAAAAAACAAATTATACCTAAGGATATATCACTTTTGCCTAGCATTATAAAAGGCCCTGTGTTTGAACCAACACCAGGCCTGAATAAACAAACAAACAAACAACAACAAAAAATTGGCAAAACTCCATGAGCATTTAGTTTATTATTTGGAGTGTGTGAGAGCTTACCTTACTGTGTATGGCATGTGCTAAGGTATGTTTATGGATTTCTTTCCATAGATATTAAGTCATGAGAAGAAAACTCTCTTTAGTGACACTGAAACAGAATATGGATATGATGACAGCAAGACTGACATTAGCTGGCTAAGAGAACCAAAATCAAAAAGACTAATGGATTATAGTAGGAATAAAAACACGAAGAAATATAAAAATAGAAAATCAAGTAAGAAATTACTTTTTAGAGAAATACTACAAATAATTTTATTTTAGTTATATAAATTACTCTATTGATATGCATAATACTTGATAATCCTATATTCCTTACAAATTCTTACTTGTCTTCTTTTCATCATTTATACTGTTAATAACAGGCCCTTATACATAGGACAAAACAACATACCAGTTGCTTTATTATTTTGCTAATATGGTTATATTTATGTTGGGGGAGGGGTAAGACAGAAAATTTGGACGTGGAAAGGGGCAAGAGGAAGAAATGCTAGCTGTCTTCTTCAGTTGTTATCTACTGTATTAAATTTTGAGAAAGGGCTTCTCAGTGTGAAGCTTGCTAATTTAGCCAGGCTGATGGGGTGGCCAGCAAGACCCCGGGATCCTCCAAAAGTTGAAGGTAGATTCATGGATAATATGCTTTAAATTTTTGATAATATATAAAGGGGGGAGGTGATTTATAACATAGCAAACACCAAGTAATGAGTTACCATTTCAAACACTTAAGCTTTGGGCTGAGTCTAAAGATATATTTCCCATCATAGTGTAGTCTAGTCTAGCTGCTACAAAGTGTAGGGAAAGGGAATCTCCCCCCACCCTGACACCCCAAAGTAGCCTTGCAGTCCTGAAGACCACATTCTCCAGCAGAAAAGCTGAGGTTAAAGCTACGTCATAATATCTTGAAGTCACATGAAGAGGGGGCTTATTAAATGTTTATAAGTACTGAATGTGTAAAATCATTATTTTATGATTTTAAATTTATACTTGGAGATATATTATGAAAATTTCATTGGTTGAAATTGTTAACCTTTTCCTGAATTGCAGGGTCATCCATGGAAAAGGGACAGCCAAGATCCACAACGGTAACCAAGAGATAAAATACTCTTTAATGTCTGTTACAACAATAATGTGTCATGCCTTCATTTTCTTACCAGTTTCCATAACTGATCCTGAATCCTATCTTTACAGTATTTTCTCTCACATTCTATTTTGAATCAGTGTCTGCATTTTGCATTTTTAGTCTATTTAATTCTGGTTCTAGATGTATGTGTGTGTATATGTGTGTGAGTGAGTGAGTGAGTGAGCATGCGTGGGCACTGAAATTGGAAGAATATTTTTCCTTTCAGAGATTGCATGATAGGAATAAAACAGTGATAGATGACAAGAATGGTAACAAAGTACAACCACTTATGTTTTTCCAACCAAAAATCATTTAATTTCTACATATATTGTATATATAAATGTCATGTGCCATTTTTACATCAAATAGTTTATATTTATGATGCCTCTATTACTAATATTACAATATTCAGGAAAATTTCTCCTAAAGGTACTCAATAAAAACATTACCAAAAAGGGTTATGAAATAGTTAGAAATACAAGAAACAGACTTCCACGAAGAGCAGCGAAAACAAAAAAAAATTATAAGGATCTCTCAACTTCAGAATCAGAACCAGAGAGTGAAAAAATTTTTTCATATATAGTTGAAGATAATCTGCCAATAAAGGTAAATAAATACAATTAAAATTAATAATCTCTAAATTTAGTTTTCATGTACTAAATTTTTTGTATGCATGCATATATAGTGCTTATAGAATTTAGGTTTCTAGTTTTAAGCACTTTACAAATTTACCTTAAAATTTTATATGTAAATCGTTAATCACTGTGAATACTGTCATCTTAATAATTTCTGTGGGAATAAAAGATATACTAAAGGAGAAAGCAATAAACATTTTTTGCTGGTTTCATCAATACAAAGTCTGTACAGTTATCCATCATTTTGAAAACCCATTGAATTAAGGAGAACCCAATTGTTAATTTAAATAAGGGGTAAAAAAACAGCATGTAAACATCAAGAATCTGAGGCTCGAGAAAGAGAAATTCACAAAGCTAGGAAGTGGTATAATTTAGCTGGAAGAGTCCTATCCTAAAGATAGGTCTTTGACTACTATACAATGTAGTATGATTATTAATAATTAATGTTGATTCATGTGATTTTTAAGGCAGTAGTTATTCCTTACCCTGCTATTATAGAAATAAAAGACACAGATTTTTGATATGCTTTAAACACTGGGACTAGACAGATCTTTTGTTTTGTTTTGTTTGTAATTTTTTATTTATTACAGTTTACTCATTTTGTATCCCAGCTGTAGCCCCCTCCCTTATCCCCTCCCAATCCTGCCCTCCCTCTTTTCCTCCCTCTTCTCATCCCATGCCCCTTCCCCAGTCCACTGATAGGGGAGATCCTCCTCCCCTTCCATATGACCCTAGCCTATCAGGTCTCGTCAGGACCATCTGCATTGTCTTCCTCTGTGGCCTGGTAAGGCTGTCTTCCCCCTCAGGAGGAGGTGTTCAAAGACCCAGCCACTGAGTTTATGTCAGAGACAGCCTCTGTTCCCCTTACTAGTAGAAACCCACTTGGAGACTAAGCTGCCATGGGCTACATCTTTGCAGGTTCCAGGTTTTCTCCATGAGTGGTCCTGGGTTGGAGTATCAGTCTCAGAAAAGACCCCTGGGCCCAGATTTTTTGGTTCTGTTGCTCTCCTTGTGGAGCTTCTGTTCCCTCCATGTCTTTCTATCTTCCCCTCTTTCATAAGTATCCCTGCACTCTGCCCAAAGTTTGGCTATGAGTCTCAGCATCTGCTTTAATACCCTGCTGGGTAGAGTCTTTCAAAGGCCCTCTGTCTTATTCCTTGTTTCACCCTCTTTGATGTCTATCCCATTTGCCTCTCTGAATGAAGATTGAGCATCTTATCCAGGGACTTCCTTCTTGCTTAGACAGATCTTAATCCCCTAACTTTTCTTATCTAATTCCCAGTTAAAATCTCCATAAGTAGTTGCACATGTTTTCCATTTGGGCTGCTTCTCTCCATCATGCCAACCCTCAGAGCAAGCTTATCCCAGCCACATTCTTCTGTCCAGTTCATGCTTCTCACCCGTAACAATCTGCTCCTCTCTTCTCTTTCCTTCTCTCTCCTCTTTCCTCATGGTTCTCCTGTGACCCCAAACCCTTGCAACTTAGCTCCGCCTATATCTCTTCTGTCCAGTCCAGGCTGTAGGCAACTTTATTTAGCCAATCAGGGATAACCTGGGGGGCAGAATTTACACAGCATCACTTTGGATGCTTGAGCATTTACTCATAAAGCAGTAAAGATCTGGGGTAAGAGGTGCAAGCAATTAACATTTGAATACTTAGTAGTTCCAGATCTTAATGGGTTAAGATCAATGGCTTGATCTTAACCAATTAAAGTACCATTTTCTCTTGTTTATGTTCCCATTATCTCTAGCTTGAAACCGTTTAAAAACATTATAATGTGATTGTATAAAAGTGTGGTTTCAGAACCAGGCTTATACACTGATTAACATGACTGCTCCAAGGTTTGGTTAAGTGAAAGGCTTTTATTATAAATATGAGGGGGAGAGTATAGTCAGATGCATCTGGAAGAGTCCAGAGCAGGGAGTAAAGTTTTAGGCTGGATACAGCCAGTAGACTAGACTTGACTTTGAGAAGGAGGTAGGGGGCAAGAGATGAAGACAAAGAGTGTGAGGGCAAAGAAGACCAAGAGAGAGGGGCAAAAGAGAAGACTAAGAGAAGGAGATAAAATAAGAGCATAGCTGAAAAAGTAGTGTTATATGAATGAGAAACTAGGGACAGGGTAGGTTCTGAGCTAGAGTAGTTTAAGGTAAGGCATGGGGTGAGAGGAGCTAGGATGCCAGCATGAACTCTGACATGTATAACAGGTACTTGTGATACTGAGGGACCTTGGAGGCCAATGTACTAATGGGCACCACATATATAGCCATTTGTCTCTTTGCCCCAGTGATAAGGAAATTGGATCCTTTGGTAGAATGCAATGGGCTTCCTGAGGAATACTGGCTTTTGTCTAACCTGCAGAATTCGAAGTGACCTTGGGCCTAACAACAGTCATCATATTTTCTGTTATTTTTTTGCTTTAATGTTACCATGCCCACCATCAAATATGCCCTTCTAAGTCACTCCTCTTATCCAGTCTTAAAAATTAAAAAAAAAAAAACAATGGCAACAACAAAAAATCCTGAAACTTCTCTTTTATGATATCCAAAGAACGAAAATGCCTTCTGAAGCTCTTTTCCCAGTGTATACCCAAAACTGAAACACGTTTGTTATTACTTGTTACTCCTAGATAAGACCTGAGTTCTCTAAGAAGTGCTTTTGGTCTAATCCATAGTCTTATTCATATATGCCTCCCTTCACCATCTTGGTACACAGACTTTTTAGTGTCTCAAGCACCATGAAATTTAGGAATTTTCTTTTCTCTAAACTGGATACAATCATAAATTTTGAACCCTCACAGTAATCTATTTGCAGGTGATTGTAGACTATGTAGTCAGTGCCTTCCTAGCATACTGGAACATATTTTTGCTAATATCTAAGCTTTTGTTACGGTCTTGAATAGTAACTAGTCGATAAATTTTGTAGTGTAAGTTATGTATCCAGTTGTGTAAGTGTATCTGAGCATAATTTGAAGTTACTGGTGCATTTAGGAGGAGACTATCCATTCCAAAGCCCAAACCAAGAGACTGCCCAAGAAACAACAGAAAGTCTTCAATACAGAAGCGCCAAAAGGACAGCTATCAGAAAAACAGAAAAACTCATCTAAGCTCAGCGATGGGAGAGAAGACTGTCTTTGCCTATCTTCTGCATCTGTGTCTGGGAGTCCATCATCCGTGGAAGTGATGAGATGTCAGTGTTATGTCATTTCCTTTGCATTTTACTAGAAGAGTTAACAAGTTTCTTTTGTAACACTATGAAAATATTTGAAGACTAATTTTGTGAAAATTGAGATAGTTTGCTTAAAAGTTCATTTTAAACCAGTTAATGCTAATATTTGGCATTTTTTTTGCCAACTTGAGAACATAATAGAATATCCAAGGTTTTTCATGTTAAGGTGTTGAAGATCAAATTATTTAATGTGGAAATACTTAATGTTCATAAGCTATAAATGTAAAGATGTAACTGCAGATTTTTAATATACTTTAAGCTCAAATATTTAATAACAAAAACTGTATACAGTTCACATGACAAAAGTCTAAGGAATCTTGTGATGATTCTGTAAATTCACAGTATATTATCTTCACAAATAATAGAGATTATGCTTTTATTTAAAAATAATTGGTAAGCCTGGTGCAGTGATGCACACCTTTAATTCCAGCACTCAGGGAAGCAGAGGCAGGTGGATCATTGTGATTTCAAGGCCAGCCTTTGATACAAGGCAAGTCCAGGACACCCAAGACTGCATAAAGAAACCCTATCTCAAAAAACCAAAATAATAATAATAAGTAATGAAAATACATACTCTTAAAGCTTTGACTATGTGCATTTTTCAGTTACAAAAACCAAGTTTCTGTGAGACTATTTTAAAGCAATCCCAAATGCAAATCATTTCAGTGAAATACAAAGCTTAATGTATCTGTTTTCTCTAAAGTAACTGCAAGATCCTTTTAGTTTCACAATGATCAGAATCATTGTCACATTAGATAAGCTAAGACAAATGTACATACCTTGATTGAGCTGAAAACCAAGAATTGATTAATATTAAAAACTTATGTCATTATTTGGGTACATGTATGCATGTATGTGTGCACATGAAATATTCCTAGGGAGCCATCTTTCCCACATCTTTTTAAGAAAGTTGATCTCATTTGTACCTGTGCTCACCAAATGGAATATCTAGCTGCCTAATGAGCTTCAGAGATTTACCTGCCAAGTTCTTAAGATTATAGGCATGCTCACCACACCTGTTTTATTTTGTTTTGTTTAGCTTTTGTGGCTCTAAGGGATGAACTCAGGTACTTATGGGTTTATGCAGCAAGAATTTTACTGACTGAGCTGTCTAACCCTAGCCTTACTGTCCTCATTTTTAGTGAGCAACTTAGACCAATTGCTTTTGTAAAACTTCTCTTGCTTTATAACAATAGTTACTATAATGTTAAAATATTTAAGATAATACTTAAGTTGGTCATTATATTTCATCTCATTAAATTGTTTCTGAAAGTTCTCAAATTTTCAATTGGGCATTTTTCAAAGGCTTAATATTTCAAACATAGTTGTTATCTTTAAAGTACTCCTAATACTTGAGGACTTGATAACTTATTAAATCTATCATGCCCTTTCTAGAGCAAGTATACTGCAGTAATACTGTTATGTTTGTGTTTATGGGGAATCTAGGTATGGAGAAAATAACAGAAAGGAATTTTACTAGGGATTATGACTACATCACAAAATCTCTTTCGCCTTATCCAAAAACTGCATCATCTGAATCCCTAAATGGTAACAACAGAGTTAAAGATCAGGGAAAATCACCAAGAATCAGTGAGATGAGGACACTATTTGTGAGAAAGAGTTACTCACCTGTTTCAGGACTGCAGTCTTCGGTAAGAATATAATTGTCTTTTATCATACACATATGAAAATAGTAAGCCACTTGTATATAATGTTTATCAAATATGTATTGAATATTCATTATTCAGTGCTTATAACTTTTAGTAAGTTTTGGCTGTTAAAATCATAAGTTGACAAAACTGAAAAGAATGTAGTAGAAAAATATATTGCTTAAGTGTTTTGTAATATAAGGAAGTTTAAAACTCATGGGAACTAATCATTGCTTATAATAAAATGGTATTAATGACTGTTTAGGACTTGAAGGTACAACTTAGGACACTTGTCTAGCACACATGAGGACCTAGAATGCAGTGTCATCACTGGAATAAAAAAATAACAATAGCTATTTAACATACCTGTATCAGAGATCTAAAACTGCTGATATAATGTGCCATCTGACTTAGCTGAGTGTTTTTATTATTTTATTTTATTTTTATTTCTAGATGGTTTTAAGGCCCTTTTATTTCAAACCAGTAGTCTTTACAGGGGGAATATTTTACAAACAAAATCTTAGGTTAAACTGTCAGTATGTCAAACAGTGCATAGTAATACTGTGCTTTTTTAAGGGAGGTGTAGGGAGGTTTAAGCCCTGGTTTACCTCATCAGCCCTTCCCTTTGCAAGACCCATTTTTTTTGTACAGATCACAATATGCCAGTTAGTATCCTGTCAGATTCTGTCATTTGCCTGCATCCTTTAAACATTCCATATGTCACTTTACAAGTGTCTGTACATCTAGGTAATTGTAATTACCTTTATTACCTTCCACGACGCCTTTTATTCTGTGGGGCATTTTAGTTTGCTACATATTTTTTAAGAACTAGGGCAGTGGCTGTACCCCTTTTCCACAAGTTCAGCTGAGTTTTATCTGATGTTTCTGTCTTTGGATTTTCATGACTCACTACATTAATGAGTACTTTAATTTTGAGCTATTCTATGATATAAATTGTCTATTTTTGTTTTGTGGTATTAGGGGTTGAATCCAGTATTTTATACATTTTAGAAAAACATTCTTCGGTAAAGTGCATCTCTAGTTCCATTTATCTTTTCTAACTTGTACATGGAATTGTTGATTTATCTTTAAAAGTTTACAGAAAGTCTTCTTGGGGGAGGGGTATGGTTAGGGTTTGGGAGGGGGTCTCTCTATGTGGTTCTAGATGTCCTGAAACTCACTCTAAATACCATGCTGGCCTTAAACTCCAAGATCAACCCACCACTGCCTCCCAAGTGCTGGGATTTAAAGTGTACAACGCTACACCCAGCCTTTACAGGAGTTCTTAATATGAGTTTAGATATCACTCCTGTATTAGTTGCATAGCATTCTGTCTTTCACTTGCTGGAATCCAGAACTCCAACAATGAAATAAAAGTTTTTATCTTTAGGGTGTTAAAGACTCTAGCAGTTATGTTTGATGCACACCTATAATCTCAACACTCAAAAGGTAAAGGCAGGAATATTGAATTATCAAGGCCAATCTGGAGTACATCAGGAAGACCTAGTTCTTCCTTAATCTGGTATCCTTTAATGTGAAAATGTTAATTTTTATTTAAACTTTTAGGTGTTAGTCTCTAGGATTTCTTATGAATGATGAAAGATTTCCACTTTAGTTTTACACCTGCTGGGTGTTTCACATGCACACACACACACACACACACACACACACACACACACACAAAATGGTCTACATTTCTGGGATTTTAAAGGCTTTTGCTTTTTTGTGTACTTTATCTTAACAAAAAGCCAAGAACTGTTTCTTGTATTTAAAGAAAATAATTATCTTTGTATTTTGAGTGATCTTGCTGAATTTTATACTTTCCCAGACTGTTACAGATTTTTCTGTAGAGACAATTATATAATGTATTATAATTTTTGCATTTGCTGACCAATTCTTTTGTTTTCATGTTCTTTTTCTTCTGAAACTGACTTGACCTCTGAAGGCTAGAAGCCATACTAGCAGACATCTTTGCTCATGGGCTTTGCTAGATACTTGTCATTGAACTAATTAATATTATGTTTAGGTGGGTGCTAAATTTTAGCATTGAGTTAATTCTCTGAAATTTTAAGTTGCTTGCTTCCTATTGTTTAATTCAACATTTTTCTGGTTTTAAGCAGTTATCTAATTTCCTTTTGGTTTCTCTGTGTCTTATTTATTCATAGCCCAGGCATACTCCGACCAAGAATAGAAAATATACAAATTCAGTGATAAATAATCAAACAGTGATAAATAATCAACATTGTAACAGCTATTCAGATGTAAGCAGTAATAGTTCAGAGAAACATTTTATGGAAACTGAATCTCCATATAGTGGTGAAAACCATATGCAAAGCAAGAGAGAGGTAATACAAGTTCAAATGCAAGTCTTCAGTAGGAATCATAATACCAAGTATTTTTCAGCCTCTGTGACTGGAGAATCAGATTTCTAAAATATGGAATGTTTTAGGCATGGGAAAAGTTGAAACTTTTAAAGTGAGAACAAGAAGATCTTAAAATAGTGTGGTTATAGGGGCAAAATCCCTGAGTTTACATATTTATAAGGCTTTCTGGCTTCATGATTAGTAGAAATGTGATTTACTGAACTTCTTGTTAGCATAAAACTCCGCTAGTCAATCAGTACAAATATGTTACCTGTATAATATAGAAGATTAAAATAAATTTTTGTTGTATCTGGGGGGAGGAAGGGCTAGGATTTGAGCTGCTCATAACTGTCTAAAACAACACACAGGTTAAAGAAAGAAAGAATAGTAATTAAGTAATATTACTGATTTTACAAGTAGTAAAACACAAATTTAATTGTGGAAAATGTCACTTTTTACAAGAAATTTTTTGTAGCCCCCTATTTTTACTCAAAAAATGAAGATACTAGTAAGGAGAAATTGAAAATAAAAAATGTTCAGAAAATGTCAAGCAAAAACTATTAGCATGAGATTGATGTTAATTTATCATAAAGATTCATTTTCAGTAGTCTTTAAGATGAAAGGATAGATAAAGGATGCTATGAAAAAGAATTTGAAAACATTTGAAATATATTGGCTTGGGAGTTTGATAAAGAATAGTCTAAGATAAAAGTGATTAAGTGTTTATAGTACTTTTCTTTTAATTACTAATATTTATTTTAGGAAAGTCATGCAGCATCTCCATTATCATTGTCTAGTGAAAGAACAGAGAAAATATTGTTTGATATGCCCAATGACAATACTCATGTATCAGGTTTGTAGATGTCTTGCTTTTTAAATTTTTACTTTAGCAGGAGGGCACAGTGGTGCATGCCTATAATTCCAGCACTTGGGGAAGGGGAGGAAGACATTTCTCTGTGAGTTCAAGGCCAGCCTAGTCTACAAAGCAAGTCTAGGACAGCCCAGGCTACACAGAAAGACCCTGTATTTAGCTGGGTGGTTTAGGCATACACCTTTAATCCCAGCACTCAGGAGACAAAGGCAGGTAGCTCTCTGAGTTTAAGGCCCACCTGATCTACAGAGTGAGTTCCAGGATAGCAAGGGCTACACAGAGAAACCCTCTCTCAAATCAAAACAAGAAACAAAGTACTTAAATTTTGTGTTTCATGTGTGTATATATATGCCCCATGTGCATGCATGTCCATGGAGGCTAGAAGAGAGTGTCAGGTGTCCTGGAACTGGAGTTAAAGACAGTTGTGAGCCATTGAGGGGATGCTGGAAACTGAGCCTAGGTCCTCTGCACGAGCAGCAAGTACTCGCAAGAGTAGCAAGTACTCTCAACTATTAAGCCATCTTTCTGGCTACAGCCTTGCTTTTAGAGTAATTACTAATTACTTTGAAATTATACCTAAATTTTAAGTCATATTTTAAGTCATATCATTATTCAATTTTGTTGTAAAAATATATAAAGTATATATACTTTAATATAGTTGGTTAAAAGCTTTTGAGTTAAAGCAATAAAGTAGTAGATACTGTTGAATCAGAATTGGAGCTCTGTTATATCTGTTTCTTAAGGTCCCAGTCAACGTAATTGCAAAAGACAGATGTACTTAGAAGATTATGCTCTAAATAATTCCAATGAAGCAGAAGTGGAAGAGGTAGAAGGAAGAGAACATTTGTTTTCAAAAAAACTATGTCAAAGGGAACATTTGGATCAACACACTCAAAAAAGTAAGCAGATAAAAGCCCATCAAACTGCAGTTTCTTCCAGGGCAGCTTCCTAGAGTTTGAATGAGCTCAACAAAACAGTTCTTTGTAAAAACAACTTTGTATGAGTGCGAGATGGTTAAGATTTTTATCACAAATTTGACTTTCTGTACAAGTAGTAGCATGGGTCTTAAATACTGAGAGATTTCTCCCATCATTTTTTTTTCATGTCTTACATTTAAATTTTATTAAACTTAAATTACTTGAAGTGTTAGTTTGCCACTTAATAGTCTCTTAGTTTTCTTTTGTTGTTTGACACAAGGTTTCTCTGTATAGTCTGGCTGTCCTAGAACTCGCTTAGTAGACCAGGCTGGCTTTGAACTCAGAGATCCACCTGCCTGCGCTTCCTGAGTGCTGGGATTAAAGGTGGGTACTATCACCACCTGGCTACTTCTGCGTTATTAAATTTAAAAGTACCAAATGTTGTACCTAAGTTGTTATTTGTGTCTCAGTAGCCCTATCAAAAGGCTATTTGTATCTGTGACAAATACAGACTACACTTTTAATAAAAACAAAAAACTCTTCTTTGGTTGAAACACATAGAATATGAAGAACTTTTTTATTATCAGTCTAATGAGAAGGATAAACTAAGTAGAAATGCATATTTTAATGTTGGCTCATTGTTTTTATTTTTTTGTGTCTGAAATTACAGCTTCATTATTGACACCAGATTTTACTGTTCCTGAGGACTGGCAACAGGAGTTACCTGCTGGGATGTTTTATGATAACATCAACTCAGACTATAAGAGGAAAACTGATGTGAGTTACCTCCTAAGTTACACACAGTACCATGGTAATACACTACAATTTTTTTTGGTAGGTGATAGATGGCTTATCTGATCCTTAGCCAACAAAACAACCATTCATGAATCTAAATTTGTCTAGATGGTAAATTAGAATGATTATCAGACACTTCTCACTTCTAAAATCTATATCTAAATCCATATGTCTATATATTTAGATAGAGATAGACAGACAGACAGATAGATATAATTATATTCCTGATTCTTTCTCTTCTGTTCAATTTGTCTTTGCAGTTTAACATTTTGGCCAGGCCTCATGTTTAGGGGTTTTACTTTGGAGGTTTTTTGTTTTTGTAATGAGTGAGATGTGTATGCACACAATGCAAGTAAGTACATGTACATTGATATGTGTTTGTGGAGGCCAGAGGTCTGTGTTATGCATCTTCTCTACCTTATTTTTTTT